GCATCATACATAAAAGTATGCCAGCGGAACGACCCAGAAGTAGACAAATGCATCATGAACTCAGTTGACTTGCTACGGCCTAAGATGATAGAGGTAAGAAAACTGCACAATATTGTTATACTGGCTTTGTCTGCGTTGTCAAAGGATTTTTTTTAAGGGGGGAAAATCATCGATTGACTACTCACGCCCTTAGTGTCAGACTCTTACTGACTAAAAACCACCCCGTTCCTTCTCCTGCACGTCGAGCCGGAGCCCCGGTTACCCGTTAGGTTCTCCGCGACGTTGTCAAAGGATAAGGTATCCTTCGCTTGCCTACTAGTTGTTTTCAAATACAAAAATTATTTCATAAAACATTCCGTTGGGATGTGAAATTAAACAAACACACTGTTACATATTATATTAGGCATAAGTACTTATGTAAGTAGTAATACATATTTATTATGGGATTGGCGACTTTAGAATATAATTAAGGTAAATGAAAAGGTCTAATACTGATGTTTTAGTAAAAATAAAGTAATACAATTAATTTTAATAAACAAATTATAATCTTATTTACATTAACTAGCCAACAAATTGTTACTTACCTTTATTTTATACAACTTAAGGATTAATCATCGGAATTTTCATCGTTTTTCTTTCCATCTGTGTCATCACCATTATTTTTAATTCCTTCTGGATCATCTCCATCGTCCTACTTTTCTTCTGGATTATCTCCATCATCCTTCTTGTCTTCTGGATTATCTCCATCATCCTTTTTTCCTTCTGGATCATTTTCATCATCCGTTTTTTCTTTTGGATCATCTGCATCACCATTTTTTTCTTCTGGTGCATCTCCATTATCACGGTTGCCTTCTGATTTATCACCATTATCCTTCTTTTCCTCCCGGTCATCTCCATCATCCTTCTTTCCTTCTTCTGGATCATCTCCGTCATTATTCTTTTCTTCTTCTGGTTTATCTCCATCATCATTTTTTCCTTCTGGATCATCACCATCATCCTTCTTTCGCTCGGGGTCGTCCCCATCATCGTTTATTCCTTCTTCGGGATCATTTTTAGCATCATTCTTTCCTTCAGGATCGTCTCCATCATTATTTTTTGCTTTGGAATTATCCTCACCGTCTTTCTTTTCTTCCGGATTCTCACCATCATCATTATTTTCTTCTGGATCATCACCATTAGCCTTCTCTCCTTCCGGGTCGTCTCCATCGTCCTTCTTTCCCTCTGGGTCGTCTTCATCATTATTATTTTCTTCTGAATTGTCTCGAGCACCATTCTTTGCTTCTGAATCATCCCCATCGTCATCATTGGAATCTTTGTCGTTTGAAGGGCTGTCGTCTATAGCTTCCGCAGTTGCTTCAGCTTCAGCTATTGCTTCAGTTTCACTATCATCTCCATTGTTAGAGTTCTCGTTATTATCATCTTCTGCAGGGTCGGCTTCATCATCATTATTTCCATTATTTTCATTTTCGGTATCTGGAGTGCCGGAGTCACCATTATTCGTTGGATCAGCATTTGTTTCGTCTCCATCGTCTCCATTATCTTCATTTCCATTATTTTCTGGAGTTTCCGAGTCGTCGTTACCTGATTGATCGTCGTCGTCTGTAACTTCAGCTACTGCTTCAGCTTCTGCAAAAGCTTCAGTTTCAGTGCCTTCTTCATCGTCTCCGTTGTCATTGTTATTATCGTTGTTTTTTTTCTCAGGATCCGCTCCATTGTCATTATTTTCATCGTCTTTCTTTGGTTTACCTTTGTTACTTTTATTTTGGTGTTTTCTTCCTTTTGGTTTGGGTACCTTATCACTGTTATCGTCATCTTCCTTTTTTTCTGGCTTGTCATCATCATTATCAGTATCTTTGTCATCATTGTTACTACTTTTATTGTCTTTTTTTCCTTCTGGCTTGTCATCATTATCAGTATTTTCATCATCTTCGTTTTCTTTTGGTTTATTTCCTTTACCTCGCTTTTCTCCACCCTTCTTATGTTTTGATTTATCACCCTTATCATCATCATTATCGTCACCATCATCATCTTTGTTTTCATTGGCACTATTTTTATTATCCCTCTTTCTTTCTGGCTTATCATCATCATTATCATCATCTTGATTTTCTTTTGGTTTGCCCCCTTTACCTTGTTTGTCACTGTCTTTCTTATGTTTTGATTTTTCACCCTTATTATCATCATCATCATCATCGTCTTTACCTTCATTGTCACTGTTTTGATCGTCTTTTTTTCCTTCTGGCTTGTCATCATTGTTATCATTTTCTTTTGGTTTGTCATCTCGCTTGTCATTATCTTTCTTATTTTTTGATTTGTCACCTTTATCAGGTTTTTTCTCATCTTTGTCATCATCATTATTTACGTCATCTTTTTTATCTTCTGGTTTGTCTCTATCATCACGTTCACCTTCACCTTTCTTTTCTTTCGGTTCATCCGCTTTCCGTTTTCCATTGTCATTCTTTTCTTGGTCATCATCATCAGCACTTCTCACGTCAATTTCAGGATCCTTATCATCTTCAGGTTCCTTTGTTTTATTAGACGGTTTATTCGTTCCTTTATGTCTATTATCAATTTGTACTCTAACTTTAAAATCTCTGGTGTTCAGAATTATAGGCTTATTTGGACTCGGATCTTTGTTTGTCGAATTTGTATTATCTATCACAATTGTCCAAACAGGATTAGTAGGCGCTCTAGGTGTTTGTTGCCTTCTTGGTGGATTATTATTGAAGTTTGTATAATATGGGTAAGGTATTGGGATGAATCTATAATTATGTGGACGATTGTAGTAGGGTATCCTGTACTGTATTGTAGTTGGTCTGTTATTGTTGTTAGGTCTTGCATTTTGAGTTTGAAATGAATTGCACTGTAACAATGTAACAAAAGTTGAAGACAAAGGTATGTTTTTTTAATGTTAGCCTAGCCAAGCCTATTAATAGATGTTTTAATCTTCAATTAAAAAAATAAGTTACTTCGAACGAAGCAATACGTGATATTCTACAAATTATAGAATTTAGTAAAGTAATCTCCTTTTACTTAAAACAATAGGCGTTATGACAAAGTATGACGTATAGATAACACTTGCACTCAAGGGAAAAATATAGATAAGATAATGATTTTAATAAAGTTCATATTAAACTTACTTGTAACAACCCTATAAAGGCCACCAGCACAAAAGTTCCACACCAGTCCATAATGAACAAATAAAGAAAATATAACATTCCAACATGGTTTTATACCCTCGTACTTCAACTGATAAACCAAATTGACGTATTCGTCACAAAATTTACTTATTGTTGGTGTTAAATCGGAAGCTAAAAGCACGTAGGAGTCATTTTTACTCGCTCAGATTACAATGTCAGGTGTTTGAATGTCCACAGTCGCGTTATCAGGTGTATGCAGCGTTTTCAAATTCCTAGTTCCGATAGCGATGTAAACACGACCTATTTGTTATAGGTTTAAGTTCTGTGAAATGAGGAAATTGTGTCAAATGAAACGTGTTATTTGTTTATTTGCCTACTAGCTTTCCATTGGTGGTTTCGCTCGCGTCAAAGGAATAAGTAACCTTTTTTAATCTTTTAGCTTCTTAACTATCTCTAGACTCTAGACACGAATTATTTAAAACACAGGTCATAATTAAACTTTGAAATTCAACAAATAAAAATTGGTACTTTGCGTAATTGACAACACGGTTGGTGCGGTGGCTGGGGAACCGGCTGCCGCGCAACGTCGCGGGTTCGATTCCCAGCACCCAACGCTCACAACACGGACGGAGGAATTCTTTGTGTAACCCACAAATTGTTATTCCGGGTCTGGGTGTGTGTATGTGAACTTGTATCTTTGTAAACGCACCCACGACACAGGAGAAAATCCTAGTGTGGGGCAACGATTTTTGAAAATAAAAAAATTATAATGAATCATTAAAAATATACCTACCTAAGTCTCAGGATCTAAACAAATAAAATGTGAATGCCAATATCACAGTGGCAATCATATTGCGACTACGGCTGAACTGAATTTCAAAGCATTGTTTGTATCTTTAGGTTTCAAAGCAAGGAATTTACCAACGGAAATACATAGTTAATAACTTCCGAAACCTTTAAATAGACTTAGCGCTGGATTTTATGAAAGTAAACATGTTGCAATCAGCGAAGGGACAACACCGCATCAAGTAGGTACTGTGAAGTTGTGCAAATCCAAGCAGGCAACATATCCTTGGGCATTGAATTAGGGTGAACGGCTAGACCGGTCTCTTAGGAAACATCTAACACTAATAAATTGTTAATTTGATAGCTTATTCTACGTGGATTTGGTTACAGGATTTGATGTGCTCATGTTTCTTGATTAAGTTCACGTGTGTGAGGTTCGAAATGTCTTTCTTACAACATCTTTGTGTTATTGAACTATACTAGGTACTCTATCTATATCTATATTGTTATATTTTTGTCTTGATTACTATAGTTTACGGATTATTTCATTTAATCTTCAAAATTGGTTTCGGTGGTGTTTATTTATTTAACTTGACCCTATACTCCTCATGCTTGCCTATGTTCGGCAGTGCACGTCCTGATGATGATGATACTCCTCATAATAAGCGATATTAACCTTAAATATTGCTTAGATAAAGTGCGAGTGAAATACATATTTCATCAACTTTCATATCCTCAAGGTTATGTTCTTTCACCTTGACTGAATATTGGTATTACATTGTTCTCACATAAGTAAATCAACGAAACCATGTAACCAAGAATATAATATAGTGAACCTGATTGAAAAAGTATGTAACCTATGGAGTTTTTTGCTTGTTCTTCTCCCTAGAAATCTACACTTTGGAACGAGCAAATAGCTTCACTAGAGGACTGACCGACAGACTGGCATTTTTTTAATATTTCAATATTTTGTTTTGAACTTCAAAAGTGCTGGTCATATTGCAATAAATGATTTTGACTTTGATATAAATCTTCATACTCCCAATAACTATCCTTGAATTACAGTTACAAAATTGAATGGTGACAAAATCGTAAAAAAGAACATCAAAAGTCATGTAAGACAACCAGAAAAGACCTTGATTTGATTAGTAGGTTTAAATATTACAATTAAAGAAAAAAAAGATTTGCTTCATAGTCGATTTGAAAGTGTGTCATTGTCACTTCTGTTGGCACAAACAAACAAACAACTGTGTCAAGTTGATGATGGGTGCAAAATATTGTAGCAAGCAACTGGTTTATATATACATATGTAAAACGCTGTATAATAGGTAGGATTGTATTGGAATTTTTGACATAATAGTAAGCCACGTGTTGCTTTGTAAAACAAGATTTTATTTAATCAAAAATAAATGATTTCGACTGTTCAATACAATATAATATTAAAAAATAATCACACTTTCATTAATAGATTTTATGACTAACTTAATTTTAGCATTTTCTCAGTAAAATTTTTAAGAAATAATTATGCTATTTAACGCTAAAAAACCGTGACGTCACAATACACAATCTCGTACAAAATTCATAGAAAACTGACGTTTTTGACAGTTAGAAAAAAATATTGAATTTACTGGTTGGCAAGTACCCAATTATCAAGTAACAAATTAATAAGTATCCTATAAAACAAAGAAACTACGATTAAGCCTATTATTCTATTCCAATTTCCCTTTTATCTATTTTAATTCAATTATCATATATTTAATTAATATTCATATATTCAATTATCACTATATTATTCACGTTTCTTGTTTTGACAGTTCTAAAAAAAACTTTCACAATGTAATGTGCCATCTATGGTAACATTAAACAAGGTTAAATTACTTAAATCTAATGAGAACAATAACTAAAGAAAACATTTTTTTTACACATAACATTCAATAACGCCTATTTTTCAAATCACCATGTTAAATATGTTAAAAGACAAGTTGTAAAGTGAATATTTTCAAGTGTGTACGTAAGCATATTGTTAATTTCCGAAGGTGTAAAAGAATATTTCATAGGAACTGTAGCTGAGCGATCGGGTAGGCGTTTGGTGCTTAAGTAAGGATTTTTATTTATATGATTTATAAAATATTTGTATCGAGATTAGGTGTGTTGTAAGTAAAAATACCTATCTATAATGGAACAGGGTTGACGCGGTGGCTAGGCAACAGGCTGCCGCGCAACGTGTAGCGGGTTCGATTACCGCACGGAACAATTCTTTGTGTGATCTACAGATTGTTGTTCCGGGTCTGAGTGTCATGTGTATGTGAACTTGTATTTTTGTAAACGTATCCACGACACAGGGGAAAATCCTAATGTGGGGCAACGATTTTTAACTTCAACTTTTATTTCACAAATCAAATTATCTTCCCGTTTGGTTAAGCATCGCGGTATCTTATTAGCATCTGTATTTTTATTGAATTGGTTCAGAGCAGTGACACGGCTCAATTTCTAGAAATCAAAAAGTGTTTTAATCTGCAGAATTGTTAACTTTACATTTAGATTGACGCCCTAAATTTATTTTCAATTTTTTTTTATTTATTTATAATTCTTAGAGGACATACAGCTTATAAAAACCGTTAACAATAACAATAGGCGTTTTGTAGAATCATCCAACAATTATAGTGTACAGGAACGGTTAGAAAAGTTCTTTCCCCAAAATTTGTTTTCTGAATTTAGCTTTAGCTCATTTGTACCTTGATATTCCTACATGATATGGACCCACGTGAGAAAATTAGTCTATTGCAAAGTAATTAGTCGTAAAGATATATTTCTACATTTTCTAGTAATTTTCTAGTGACTGCCTCGTTGACCGAGTGGTCGCAAGTGCGACTGCCGGGCAAGGGGTCTCGGGTTCGATTCCCGGGTCGGTCAAAGTATTACTGGGTTTTTAAAAAAAATCTCAGTAGTAGCACGAAGTCTGGAATTGTGCCCGGTATATGGCAATAGGCTCACCCCCTATTACATGGGACTCATAACATAAATAGTGAAAAGTGGGTGTTACATTGTACAGTGGCATTAAGTGCCGTAATGTACACCTCTGCCTACCCCTTCGGAGATAAAAGGCGTGATGTTATGTTATGTTTCTAGTGTGAATGTTAATTAAAACTTACCTATTCTCTACTTATCTTAGGACATCTAGAAATAAAAGGATTTGTCACAAAAGTGGTCATTATGAATTCACAGAACCTATGTAGGTCTGCTTATGTGCATTGCATACTTATTGTATTATCTACTGAGTCAAGGTTCCATCGAATTTGTATTCTAAAACCATTATTTACCTTAAGCCTATGTAGGTAAGAATTAATTCTCTTCATCTGCATCTAATTAATTAGTCAGCAGTAGTCTTCGTATGTGACATTGTGAGTTATTTCTTTTCGTTTTGTTTGTTTAAATATTACTAAAATATTGATGATTAAAAACATTACTAGTGAAGTATTTCAAAAAGCTCTACTAATTTCAAGTCAAACCGGGGCTCTTATTCCTAAGCAGTGACCATACGACTCTATAACGTCGTATGAATTAAATGGTCGAAAAATTTTATTCAAGCGTGATACTTATATATTTTTTTTATTTTAAATTCCAGGGTATCCCAGAGTTAAACGTGCCAGGCATCGAACCTCTAAGCTTGGGTCAGATTGCGTTGGCTCGAGGCCCTCAGGGCGCCAAGCTGACAGCAGTCGTCAATGATGTCAAAGTTCGCGGACCTAGCAACTTTATCATACAGGAACTTAAGTAAGTTTTATCATTTATTCATTTTTAATTGACGTATACAGCTGTGGTAGCTGGATTACGGAGCCGCGGAAGGCCTAACGAGTGTGGCTCCGGCTCGAAGAGCAGGAGTAGGAACGGGGTGGTTTTTAGAGTCTGACACTCCGTATCGCCTAACCCAAGGCGGGAGAAGACATTAAATGATTTTTCCCCCCTCAACAAATAAGTGGTAGCTGGATGCTGGTCGCTGCCAATTGACCTATCTGGAAGTCATTGGGGGAAGCCTATGTTCAGTAGTTGACGTCTTGTGGCTGATGTGATGTTGATGATACAGTAATGCACTAAATGTCATAACGTCACTCACGGCTTTTAATCCCTAAATATCTGTCAATTTCTCTCTAAGGGTTCAGTAGAGACGTAAGATGACGTGACGTCTAGTAACATCCACTTTTCACCATTAAGTTAAAATTATTACATTTTCTTTCTCCTAGCCTTATTACTAGAGGTATTGATTTGACAATATCTCTACAATAGATGATTGCCTTGTGGGTCGAGTGGTCGCAAGTGCGACTGCCGGGCAAGAGGTCGCGGGTTCCATTCCTGGGCCGGGCAAAGTACTTCTGGGTTTTTAAAAAGTCTGAGTCTGGAATTGTGCCCGGTATATGGCTGTAAACTCACACTATTATAGCTTATATGGGACTCATAACATAAATAGTGAAAAGTGGGGGTTACATTGTACAGGGATAAAAGGCGTGATGTTATGTATAATCAAAATAAAAAGAAAGACAGATTGTATAGATAAAAACCTTTTTCTATAAACGTTATCAAGATTATGTCCCAAAAATAACAAACATAGGCTTTTGTCATCATACCCTTGACACCTCATGAAACGTGCAGGAGATGCTATCAACATACTCATAATTATAGAATGAGTTATTCATGCAGCACGTGTTCAGCATATAAATAGGCAGCTGATTCACTATCACTGAAGGTCAACATGAGCTGGATTTTACATACAAACTTTTAATTAAACACAATAATGCCTTATTCTTAGACATATACAATATACATGTATTATGTCCTGCTGTATGGTGTAACCCGTATTTCTCCCATGAATGTAGTAAGAACTGATCAAGGGGACCATTTGACAGATATCAGGCTGTAGCGGTCTTTGATAAACTTATATATACATATTTTTAAACTGCGATCTTTGTCGAATAATGGATTATAGCCCTCTTCGGTAGATATGGTCTACAGACACGCCGAATGCCGCGGAGGACTTAACGGGTTGCCGGGGCTCCGACTCGACGGGCTGGATTAGGAACGGGGTGGTTTTTAGTCAGTACGAATCTGACAAGCCCTTCCCGCCTCACCCAGGCGGGAGAAGTCATTAAATGATTTTCCCCCTTAAAACAATTGGTACAATTTTCTGTTTAGAACCTTCTGTACCGACTGGTTTCTATCCAAATTCTCTAGTAGGAAAAATGAATGTAGGTACCAAGAGATATATTAATAGAGATCAGTGGTCGTAATCATTGTACTGATAGCAAGATCAAATCATTATTACTTTGTATTATTGATCTCACAGGAGAGCTTCATCTAATACATTTAAATGAGCAATTCTAGTAATACCTATCAACGATACCTTCGGAAACGGCTCCAACGGAGGGGTTTCGGGTAAAATAAATCGATCACAAACGAAACCTTAGATAGTTTTCATTATCAAAAACTGTTGTTCATTAAAAAGAACTCCCAACTAAGCTCGGTTATCCAGGTACTAAAACAACAAACAAAATATCTTAAGCAATGAATTACAAGCGATCGAATCAACATCCAGATTTTAATGAATAGGTAATAAGGAAAACTTACGTATCGTAGACCTTTTTGTTCCTATTATATTTTCCTGACGCTTACTGCCCGGATTTCTTAAACCAAACAAACTTCCCTTATGAAATGTGTGTTACACATATTACGGGAAATTACTGAGTATTTCAGCACCTTATATAAACGTTTCCTGGCTTGAAGGATCTGTTAACATTTCCGATAGTAAATCAGTTGTTTGATTATTCGATATTAGTGAAGGCTAAGTCATGTAGAGAGAGTCTGTTTGCATTTGATGTCTTTTTTTTTTTTTTTTTTTTTTTTTTTTTAAGGGGGGAAAATCATCGAATGACTGCTCCCGCCTGGGTGAGGCGGAAGGGAGTGTCAGACTCTTACTGACTAAAAACCACCCCGTTCCTTCTCCTGCACGTCGAGCCGGAGCCCCGGTTACCCGTTAGGTTCTCCGCGACTCCGAATCGGCATCGGCCCTATTGGGCCCCATCTGTGGTGGTCTGATGGCTCTTTGAGGCGCGCGCGGAACGCGACGCGCCGTACGCTCGGGTCTGTTTCTGGTCGGACGGGGAGCCACCCATGCTCGCCGTCCGCAGGCCCGCGCTTACGGTGGCCGGAGATCGTCCCGCGATCCCCGACGCCCGGTGTGTCCTTCGCGATGGCGCATTTGATGTCTAGTTAGGTCTGTTTGTGTTACAATAATAAGGTTCAAATTACTCTACTAGGTTTTAATAGGTGCTTAATCTATACTTATAATAAATTTGCAGAGAGGTCAATTCTGTACATAAAATATATTTAAAAAATAACTATCAAGGGGTGGTTAGGGATCGCTACTGTTGCCAAAAATGCAATCGGTAAAATTTTTGTCTGTCTGTATGTTCGTTATGGAAACAAAAACTACTCGATGGATTTTAACGAAATTTGTCACAATTATTCTTCATACTCTTGGGCAGGTTATAGTATACTTTTCATTACGCTACAATCAATAGGAGCCGAGCAGTGAAGGGAAATATTGGGAAAACGGGAGAAGTTACTCCATTTTTTAAGCTTCCGTCGCGTGTGCAGGTTTATAGGTTAAAGCTGCATAAAAATCATGTATGACGGAAATATTTTCCTTAAAATTATATAAAAAATATTCCTCGACAGCATATGTCTATCTTTTATGGTTGACTCACAATAACACGTGAAACTCCCGATAGCTTAGCAATTCGGTGATTTCTGATTGTATTTGTCTACTCTAACGTTTACAATACTGATTCATAGACTTTACGCTGTAACTGAAAGGCTAATGATTGAAATTAGCTTGACTCGATATTAAAAATGAAAATATGTGAGTTTATGTGTATGTTTGTTACTCAGTCATATTAAAACCACTGACGGGACCGGAATGAAATTCGGAACAGAGGTAGATTATGGTCTGAAGTGATACATAGGCATTTTACCCCTGGGATCGCGGGCATTACCGCTGGCAGAAACTAGTATCTTATAAAATTATAGATATGTTATACTGATAAATGCAAACTGCAAATTCACTGATACTGAACTGTCAGTATCAGTGAATTTGCGAGACGAAGCTAAGTCAATCCATTTACTAAAAGATTTGTAAAAAAAATTACTCTGTAAAAATCAATGTTATTCTGTATACTTATACTTAATGCTTATCATTAACCGTCAGTTAGAAATAAAATAACAGAAACTGCATTGGAAATTATAAACAGGCCCTGAAAATAACATATTTATACAGTTACATTCAACTCAATAGCAAATATTTTCAGGCTAACGGGTGATTCTACAAAAAAAAAACGAAAAAATTAACTGCGTCATTGTCCTTAAGCCAAAGTTAACAGTTCTGCTGATTAAAAAATGAAGTTTAGTTTCAAGAAATTGAGAAATAAAAAAAAATAAAAAAATAATGTTTTTCGAAGAAATACCCTACCACGCAATGTGTCGCGGGTTCGATTCCCGCACGGAACAAATTGTTGTTCCGGGTCTGGGTGTTATGTGTGTGTGACCTTGTATATTTGTAAACGCACCCACGACACAGGAGAAATTCTCGTGTGGTCAAAGTATTAAAAAAAAAAATGTTTGTAATTTTTAGAGAACATAGCATATTTTAAAAATAGCAGACACGAAGCAAAACCTAGTGTCGCACATTAAACATTATATTTTCGGGGTTTAAGGTGAAATAGTAAATATAAACCTTGGTTGAACATAGACTGAATAGTTTAAGAACAATTATTTATCTTGTGGTTTCGCGAAATCAAATATTTTAGAAGTTTGGAAGGTCGTTGTATGAGACTCGACATTGGATAGCGTTGCTTTGTTTATAGACCTACATATGTATGTGCCTGTATTTTTCTTCTATATTTATATTAATAAACATTCTTGAAAAACTATTTGAGAGATAAAGAGATAAAGGTCACTATGTCATATAATAAAATATTTTAATAAGTAGTTAATTAAAAATCTAACAATGACAGAGTGCAACACGAAAGAGTAACATATGGAGTTTCTTGCTCGTTCTTCTCCATAGGAATCTATACCTTGGAATGAGCAAATAGTTTCACTATTAATTTTTTTTGTTGACGTTCAAATTCAAAAGTGGTCTATTTGAAATGAATGATTTTGACTTTGACTTGACTTTGACACAGACATAGACAGAAAGGTATAACAAATTACTTAATACTACTCCGTAAATGAACGATGAGGTTTTTCAAATAGTTTCAAGCCAGCCCGGGGCCCATAGCTTATATTCTGTGTCCATAGTTATGGACAGCTTGCATGAAAAGCTGTTTAGGAGTACAGGCGACGAGAAAACGAAGCGTAGTTAACGTAATTTCTATTTAAACACATTTTTCAATTAAATTTTATAATCATTTTGTCTCATAACGTTCCAGGTCAGACCTAGACAAGAACAGGTTCGACTTCAAGCTGTTGCTGCCGAAGCTTGACTTCGCTGGAAAGTACAAGATGGACATCCAAGTGCTGCTGCTGCGACTCCAGGGCCGAGGGAACATCACGGGAACCTTCAGTTAGTATTCTTTTTTCATAGTAGTATTAATTTCATTAGTATTCGTTTTTCATATAAGTATGTACATATTTTTTTTTGTGGTTTAAGCCGGTAAACGAGCAGACGGATCACCTGATGGTAAGCAATTGGCGTCGCTCATGGACACCTGGAACACCAAAAGCGTTACAAGTGCGTGACCGGCCTTTTGGGATTAGGAGTTTGAGGATCGTTGGGGATTCACGGATTGGGGAGATTGGGGAGATTGGGGAAGGAGAGGGTAATTGGGCCTCCGGTAACCTCACTCACACGACGAAACACAACGCAAGCGTTGCTTCACGTCGGTTTCCTGTAAGGTCGTGGTATCACTCCGGTCGAGCTGGCCCATTCGTGCCGAAGCATGGCTCTCCCATACTTCATATATTCGGAAAATTGTACCCTCGTTCTCTAAAACGTCTCTATTGGTTTTAATAGAACTGAATGTACAAGGTTTTGCCAAAAGACCAGTTTATCTAGGTTAGTACTTTATTTTGAGAGGTTCTTTTTATGGTGATATATTATTTGCACATTGAAGGGACAAGAGCAAAAAGGTCAAGCCCTTTCCATATACCGGTCTTAGATTACATGCGATTTTGGTGATTGAAAAGCCGACAATGCTGTGGTTGACCTAGGAATCAACCTTGGCTCTGACGGCAGTAATTTAACCAAAACATACTTCTCAAGCCACGTTATGATCAATAGATATTAAACTGTCAAACACCGCGAGGACACCGGTGACCGCAACCTATTGTTCTTTAATTGTGTCTATAATGACGGTACTCAAAGAGTTAAGGTAATACGTAACATAAGATAATATAACATCATGGCTTTTCCTCCAAAAGGTAGGCATAGGTGCATATTACGGCACTTAAAGCCACTGTACAATGTAACACTCACTTTTCACTATTTATGTTATGTGTCCCATGTAATAGGGGGTGAGTCCATTGCCGGGCACAATTCCGGACTCCTTTTACTTTTTATATATTTTTTTAAAACCCAGTAATACTTTGCTTAAGCCGCACTTGCGACCACTTGACTAACGAGGCTTCTAAAGTCTTTATAAAAAAGGATTTAACCATTTTACAAACAGTTGAACGAAGTATTTAATTGACACGGTTACTATACTTTAAAAACAAGTCATCTGTTATTCCGAGCATATTGCAGTTCCTGTAAAACGAGTAGTAACTCGATTAATGACTGTTATTCAACAACTTGATCGAATCAACTGATCGCTATGCTTGTTATGCAACTTACGTTTCTATGTCAAGATCATAAGGTGGAGTTTTAACAACGTATGTTCGTAATATTATGTGTTAAATTCTGTGTATTGTATAAAATGTGTAACATGTAAATACTACTACTATTGTCGACAGTTCTATTATGATCAAATCACTACATAGTATAAAACAAAGTCGCTATCCACCGTCTGTCTGCCCCTATTGTATGCTTAATTTTTAAATCTACGTTACGGATTTTGATGCGGTTTTTTTTAAAGATCGAGTGATTCTTAAGGAATATTTATATGTATAATACATGGATATTGCACGTGTGCGAAGCCGGGGCGGGTCGCTAGTTAAAAATAATGGAGTCTCTTGCTCGTTCGTCTCCATTCGAAACTACACTTTGGAAGGAGCACTTAGCTTCACTGACAATACAATTTGATGTTTCAAAAATACTTAATTGAGGATTAATTGATGCTTTGACTTTGATCCTTTGAAATTACTTTGGGGAGTTCTATTGTGTGTGTATATGAACTTGTATACCTATTTGTAAACGCACACACGATACAGGAGAAAATCCACGTTTTAATAATAAAAAAATCTTATAAATTAGTACTAAGTATATTAATGACAATAATACGTTGTCCGATTCGAGAATCTATACCAATATATTAATTCTAAAACCGTGATTCTCACGTGAATATACTGAGAAAAGCTCTACTAGTTTCGAACCACAGAGGGGTTCTTCCTCATGAGCAGCGTGCGCGGTCGCAGCGACGTCGCGCAGCTCACGTAACGTGAGTAACCCGCGATTTTACTTAATTTAGTATGTCTCACGATAGTTATTATAAAAACCGTGATTCTATTCAATCTAGTATAAAAGATCAAGAATATTGTTGATAATACATACATACATAATAATTATATTGCTTGTAAAGTTTTGCATACAAAATAGTACTTAAATCTCTAGAAAGTCAATTTACAAAATAATAGATTCATCATACACGTGGAATACTTCGTACCTATTCATCATCCGTGCAGGAACTTAAGAGTAAATAGCTATCATTTAATGCTCTTCAAATAAGTACTAAGTTAAATATGTACTAACAATACATAAATATTAGACATTTGTAATATTAACTAGTATCTAGTGTATTCTTAGCTAGCTATTATTTGTTATAGAAGTATAATGAATAATAATAATGTAGTTAGATAATATAATGATTTATTTACTTTTCAATGAAAATTCTAGTCATCCATTATGAGTAATAAGAAGTAAAATAAATCCTTTTCAGCTCCAACACCAAATAAAACCTGTCAATTACCACATAGGTTAAAACTCGAAATTAAAATGAAATTCATGAAATGAATGAATTATCTGAATCCAGTCCTTAATCTCTTAATACAAAAGTAGTCTCTAAACATCGGAAATAAGGTTTATAATGGAGTAAGTACAGAGCGATCACCGGTGACCGCTTGGGGACTGGGCAGTAGTGGATAGTTTTTGGAATCACAGAACTCTAAACGACTGTTATAACAATTTTCTTTTCGTATCTTTGTTCGTGTGTTTAAACATACATAATGCAAGAACTACTGCACAAAACTGGATGCGGTTTAAACTGGTATATATTGCTAAAAGATTGGTTTAAAATACAGGATCTTTTTTACAACTATAGCAAGAGAGGTTATGGACAAAAGCCGTTTACTCATGTCTAATTAAATAATGTAGCAATAAATTTGTTCTTTCATCACAAAAATTCTTATATTCCAATACAAACTATTAAGATTTCATAAGTGCATTAGTAAATGCAGTAACGGCAAAGTTTGTTGAACCGCGTTGCATAGGATGACGTCGCAGCTAGTAGTCTGTGGCGTCACCAGCCTCGTGTATGCATTGCGGTCAGGCGGGGCGCAAGGGAAGGAATGCTGCGGGTAATATTTACTTTAAAACTAAGTGCTTTTGGTAGCAATATAGCTTACAGAGGGACTGATGTTAAGCAGCCACTATTGTCTATATACATAGGTACAGCTGCAACACCAAAGGTATCATTAGTGCATTGCGGTACGGACAATAAAGACGGCCTTAATTGCTTCATTTTTTTGGGTTTATTATAATAACAAGGTTTCCAGCTAAATTAATACAATCATAATTTTTACTAAATGTCAAAACAAATGTCTTGGGTTTTGCGGTTAAATTTAAAGAAAGTTGGATTTATACCTCTTTGAAGATACCCCGGTGAGCACTATCAATGTCTTGTTGGGGCTCTGGGTATTCTAATATGGCAGATGCCTAGGACTAGTTAGCTATCTTCTTCTTCTTCTTCTCTGTCGTTTCGCTCGCGGTCGTGGTCACGTTGAGGCGGCCGTATTTGTGTTGGAGGCCGATACAGCTTTCCTCACAGCCTCCCTCTCCTAGCTATCTAGTTAAATATAATATTATTTAAAAAAAAATAATTCTTAGACTATAAGTAAAGACTGACCTTGATTTAAGGTCATAAACATTCTACTTATACAATAAACATATTATATTCAACATTTTCCTATGACAAATATACCTTAATAATATATGTGCTAACCTGTATACCTAGCGTTAGAGAAGTTTACTTAAATAATACAGAAGGTTTTATTTGTATTTATTTTTTATATTCTTGCAATAAAAGTGTATTTACCTTGGGTATTGAAGTTATGCGCCGATGAGGCTATTTCTTAGGTATGGGTTTTGCTATATCTAATGGACTTGTAATTTGTATGTTAAGCGGGGAATTATGGTCAAGAGATCTCTTATCAAGACCCGGAGTGGTGGACAACTTAACAGGTTGCCAGGGTTTCGGCTCAGAGCAGTAATAAGAATAGGGTGGTTTCTAGTCAGTAAGAGTCTGACACTCTCTATCGCTTCACCCAATGTTGTAGGAGTCATTAGATGTTTTCCCGCCTCCTTTTTCCGGCCTCTTATCATGTCATAGTTCATAATCCAGTAGTGAATTGGACTATTCATAGTTTGTCAGACACGATAAAAGAAGTAGCTGCGGCTGCTGTTAAAGAAGCAGCTATATGCCATACAGGGTCAAATGTAAATTCTGTGCTAATATTGATAATTTTTGGCAGACTAAAACAGATAGGGCTATGGAGCGCAGTATCTTAGGAGTTCGACTATCGGACAGAATTAGGAACACCACGCTGCGCTCCACAATTAAAATCATTGGCGTTGGCCATAAAGCCGCAGGCTTCAAGTGGAACTGGGCTGGTCATGTCTGCCGCATGTCAGACGAGCACTGGGCAAAACTTACTACTGAGTGGAGCCCACTCAACGTCTGTTGACGTCGCGGCAGGCCCAAAAGGAGATGGCGGGACGAATTAGACATCTGTGACAAGTATTGGCCGCAAAAAGCTTTACATAGAGAGGAGTGGAGGGAGGGTAGGGAGGCCTTTGTCCTGCAGTGGGACGATCATGGCTGAAAATAAATAATAAATAAATAAAACAGATAGAACATGACAGTGTTTTTAAGGTATATCAGTTTATTACTTGCACCGCTGAGCTGCTCCCTCACTGAACAGTTTACTAATGCGCCATGCAATGTTTAGCATAGATGTTAACGTTACAAGCCCACACGTGCGTCCACTATGTCACTATGCCGTTTTATGTAATCATTCGTTTTTCACTTATTTATATGGTGTATGAAATGTCCCATCAGGGTTATAGGCCCGAAATTTACTGATCCGTAACCAAAATCTTTAAATTTATGAAGATTTTTGAAATTAGTTCTATTGAGATTCTATCAACTTAGATTGATTCGGATTTTAATAAGGTCGTTTAAGATAACCTTACTAAGTTTTAAACTATAAAAATACTCTCATAATATACGCATACCTACCTTAATCGATTATATTTTTTACAGATGACTAATGTTTACAAAAATCCTATTCACATTCATTTTAACATCATTTATTATAAGAAATAAATATTAACAACTTAAAATTAACTACAACGAATTAAAAATGAAACTATCCTTAATTACGCGTCAAAGTACTCGTCCGCATCACTGTTACCGGGGAACGTTCCTATTCATTAACATTAGCAGATTATTGTAAAACTATTTTTAATTAAACAATCAGATACAAAGATTACACAGTTGGGTCCGATATAAATCTTGAGTATCTAAGGAAGATATTATTATAATTTTATAGTTGCGTGGGTGAAACGTAATCTTACCTTTAACTACCACTTCCTACTACACATGTAACAAAATACGCTTCAAATTACACATAGACAACGTAATTATTACTTAGCCTGGAGATAGATGCAAATTGATCATAACTTTCGTTGTTGACTAACGTAATATTGATGAAAAATGGCTAGCTAATGTTTGGTTTTAAATTAGTTGGTTTGTGTACCTCTTTATCGCAGTGGCAGGGTAAACAATTGCCAGAAAGCAGTAGCAAATTTTGTCAACCACATCAGAAATAATTTTATCGATATAAATTAATATCATTACCATTTATTTATTTACTTTCAGCCATGATCTTCCCACTGCAAAGCAAATACCGTCGACGACGTCTATTTATATCATCACCATATCTTATACTATTATATAAAGCGGAAGAGTTTGTTTTTTTGTTTGAACGCGCTAATCTCCGTAACTACAAGTCTGATTTGAATAATTCTTTTTGTGTTGGATAGCCCATTTATTAAGGAAGTCTATAGGCTATAAAATATCAACGACCGCTACGACCAATAGGAGCTGAGCAGAGCGAGTGAAACCGCGCGGAAGTAGCTAGTTACTAATAAATTATTTTCACGTTCCAGGGGACTACGCATGCAACGTCACGATGAGAGGACACAAACAGAAGATCGGTGAAGACGAGCACCTACAGTTTGATCCCTTCAAAGTGAAACTCCGTGTCGGTCAGTCTTCCATCTACTTAACCAACTTGTTCGACGGCGATCCAGTCCTGGGACCCGCCACCAACAGGGTCATCAACGAAAACTCACAAGTCTTCCTACAAGAAATCAGTCCGGTCCTAGAAAAGAGCCTTGCGGACCTCTTCACAGAAATGGCTAATAAAATAACATCGAAGTTCACTTACAAAGAATTATTCCCGTGATCCGTGCTCATATAGGAGTATTCAGTAATTTTAGTTTATTTGTGATTTCGTGTACGTCTGTTTTTATATTTGTTGGTGATTAACGTGTCGAAAGCTTGACAAAGATCCAAAAAGTATTAGGGTTGATCTACACCACATTAAATCTCATTATCGTCTATTGTAACTATCATTTTATATATCTTGGTTCATCAAATTCATTTTGAAGTCAACCCTAAAAGGCTAATTTTGTACAGTGATTAGTGTCGGAGTTAACAGATGTTAGATATAAGGTATTGGTTATATAAGTGGTAAGGTAAGTTTGTAAATAAATAGTGTAGTAAGTATAGTATTATTTAACTAAACCTGTACTGGCTGACGCAACCTGAGATTGTATGAACAAATTCTGGAAACGAATAAATTAACAAATATAAACGTATTATAATATTGTGTATATTATAGTTTAGTATAGTATATATGTTTTGTTTTATATCTATTTAAATAAACATTAATCGCCAAATATGCAAAATTATTTGCACTAAATAAGATATATTGTTATTTTACTATTATATGAGTATATTTAATAATATTATCTTTATCTAACTCTTCTGAAGTCCTGTAGAATGTATTTATATAATTATAAAATGTCATGAGAATTAAGTTTTATAACAGGATACAATGTCATTATTATACTGAACATTATTATATATGTATTATATTAAAATTGAACATTTACTCATATTGAATATTTATTATTATAATATTAAAATACGCACTATTTTATACATATGTGGTTGAAAGTATTTATCCGTTTCCCTTCGAATTGAAGTTTTCATTAGAATTAAAGTTGTAATTACCACATCATTGATATGTGATATCAGGAGATAATGTAAAAATAAAATTTGTCAGTGAATTCAGTATTATCTTTTATTTTATTTATGTTTCTTATGAAACTTACAAAATTACATAGGCTGACCTAATTCCAGAGGCATTCTCACCGATCAACCTTTAATTTCTTTTAATTGGTGCAATGAAGAAGAAAAATTAAAATAATAGCGTGAATTTACTTTCGTGATATAGTTTGATATTGAACGCAATTCAAATAGCATATAACATAACATCACGCCTTTTATCCACGAAGGGGTAACCAGAGGTGCACATTTCGGCACTTACTGCCAATGTACATGTAACACCCAGTTTTCACTTTTTATGTTATGAGTCCCATGTACCTAATAGGGGGTGAGCCTATTGCCATATACCGGGCACAATTCCAGACTCCGTGTTACAACTGAGAATTTTTTTAAAAGCCCAGTAGTACTTTGCCCGATGCGGGAATCGAATCCGAGACCCCTTGCCCGGCAGTCGCACTTGCGACTACTTGGCTAACGAGGCAGTCAAAGAAGCAATCTATAAAAATGTCGAGTATACCAAATGTCATTTAGGAACTATTCTTAGGACGCATAATGAATGACAGGCAAATAAAAAAATAGACTTCTATAATTATTCAAAGTTTCAAAGCCACATTAGATGTAGGTGGTTGAAGCGCCGCGCCCCTAGTGGCAAATAAAACAAACCGATTACGACTAAGATAGTGCAGCAGTCGACGCACTAATACAGTTTCACAGTTCAAGGTAGCTTGTAGCATAAATACTGCAGCTACTTTGTAGTTATGGTTCTAACGATGAAAGTGAAGGTTGCTGCGGATAGATGGCGTGATTATTGAATAATATTTCTACGGGTACAGCAAAACATGCTTGGAATGATTACTTATTCATTAGGAGGGTCAGTGAAACAAACAGGCAAGTAACTTAAGTATTAGTCCCTTTGATTCTTAGGTTGGCGACGGGCTGCATCTTTACAGTCCCTGTTTTACTTGAGGCATCCGCCATTTTCCTCAAAAACTTATTAACAGTTAGCAGTAACACAATATATGTCTTGGTTAAACCCTTTGACAGATTTTATTTCCTACATCTTCGTGCAATAAATGCCATGGCCATCAACGAAAGAAATGAGCAAGGAAAGATCATGGTAAAATTCTACAAGGAAGATAAGGATACGAATCCTTATTTACCGGCCTACTGTCACTTACGTAATTACATATTCCATAAATATTCAATGTTTGTAGTTGAACTTGGTCTATATTTACCTTCTTATGCACATCCACTGGACATTTGTCTAGACCTTTGTTTACGTAACCTAATTCATTGAGTGAAGGTTGCATTTAGCAAACTTGGTCAACAGTGCCAATTCATTAATTATTCGTATGACAAGCAAATAATTGATTATTGGAAGTTTGGTGTTGATGAAATATCTAGTCTTATTGTTACTTTAGCTGAAAACTAGTTAACAATCTAGGTTAGGGTTGACTAATGGCCGAAATACATAAATAAACGATATTAATACTAAATCTTTTGATCAAAAATCAAAATCAAATCGTCGGCGATTTGAGTTTTGTAGCCCTTTTAATAAAGGATAATAAAAAAATATAGTAATATGGGACACCAATCAGTGTAGCTTTTACTCCATAAGAGTATGACGATCTCCTTCGTTTTCCCCAAGCCAGGTGGTGAGAATTTTTCATCTCGGGCTCTTAAAAACTTGTAGACACTTGACTCCCCTTTTTTCTTTAGGGTACTTCATTTAGGCACACTCAAACACAAACAGGACGCCTCTCTTTCGGAAAATAGCGAACCAAACGCGATTATCTACTTTACTATTGTGAAATGCCTAATTAGAAAAAGACGTGTCAATGCAGAAGTTGCAGTTGTTTGGGTTGCTAATGACCAAATATTGGAAACATGTATCTTCATTTGTATGACATGCATTTTGTAAGAGGAAAAAATGCAAGTCTTGTCACTTTATGAGTGTAATGCTAATCATGGACGATGCAAATCTAGTTTAAGCGGTCATGGTTTAAAAATGGTTGTGTGATTTATGTTCAGTTTATTTTTTTAGTACTTTGAATGCTATATTGCTTTAACCGATTGAGGCGTATATGAGACACAATAGAAAATAAATTGTGTCTCGCGTGGATCCTCGTTTAAAAACACGTCGGGTTAAACAGGGTAAATGGAAGAATTACTCCCGAAAACCGCCGACAAGTGATGGTAAAAAACAAATCTTATTTTCATATAAGTAAGGAAATAAATGTTTCTTTTATGTAATAATAGTTGGAATCAGCTACTCAAGGCTGATATTGCATGAATTGATTTTTTTTATGGCATAAACGACGTAAACGAGCCGACGGATCACCTGATGGTAAGCAATCGGCGTCGCCCATGGACACCTGGAACACCAGAGGCGTTACAAGTGCGTTACCGGCCTTTTGGGGATTACAAGTTTGAGGATCGTTGGGGATTCAGGAATTAGGGAGATTGGGGAAGGGGAGGGTAATTGGGCCTCCGGTAACCTCACTCACACGACGAAACACAACGAAAGCGCTGCTTCACGTCGGTTTTCCGTGAGGCCGTGGTATCACTCCGGTCGAGCCGGCCCATTCGTGCCGAAGCATGGCTCTCCCACACTTATAAATGAATAAAACAAAAACAAAAACGATTAAAATTGTAAAAACAATTTCTTTGTGTTAGCGTTTCGGGAGAGTTCCTTTTGCACCCTGTATAGTAACTAGATTCCGTCAAGTAGTTACTACTGTAGTGGTGGTATTTATTCATCTTCCAACACATTTTTACATCTGATCATAGACGTATCTTCATACGGAGCCGCGGCGGACTTAACGGGTTGACGGGGCTCCTGCTCTAAGGACAGGAGTTGGAACGGGGTGGTTTTTAGTCAGTAAGGGTCTGACACTCCCTCCCGCCTCACCCAGGCGGGAGAAGTAAATCGATGATTTTCCCCCACTAAAAAAAAGACGTATCTTCATCTTATATTTATTTATTATTTTCCTCCAAAATAAATAAAAGACGATACCATTACGCCAACATGATTCGCAGAACGTTAGGGGTCATAGTTTCCAGATAACGAAACTGTGTGACGTCATTATTTATTATTATATAGTGAAGGCTTAGTTTTGAAACTGTTAAGCAAGGGGGCGTGTGGTTTGCGATAACCGGATCCGTGTGGATTTGTGTTGTCAAAATATAATAAATGCTTATTAGAATGTTTTTGGACCGTGCACTCTATATTGAAATGTCTTCTGCGAATATTTTTGGCAATAGTATTTATGAGTTTATTTGTATCTTCTCTTTTTTTATTCTACATGTAATTAATACGGGGTTTTTATCCATTAGGATACGCCAACCCCATCGTACCTAATACTACCTACAACCATTATATAAACAAAACCTTAAAATGAACAATGAAAGTTCCTAATTAACTTAGTCTTAATCAACGAAATACATCAACTGACACAGTATCTTGCCTTTTTAAAGTTTAATTTTTAGTAGGGGTTTTCTAGACAAGAAGAAATTATATTACCAACAGGATTATTGTACATAGTGCCATATAACACAAGTATGTCATTTTTCTAAATGGGTAGGGTAGAAAGTGCTACTAAAGGTAAAATAATATTGGATTTCAAGGTTACATCAAAGTTTACATGGGTTGCCTATATAACAAATCAGAAATCCTGCAAACACATACTCCTAAGCTTAACCTAGAATGAGATTAACCAATAGGGTAGATAACTAATTTTTATTTTAATGTCCGTCTGGTAGATTTTTTAAAAACATTACATGGAAAGTTTCGAAGATAGATTAATTTGAAATATCGCGTGACGTCACTTTTGAGTACGATTTATACTCTAAAATAACGTAACTACCTCCCACTCCTAAACTTTGGTTCGTTTTATCTAAGTATTGTTTTCTTATACGACAAAATAAAAAAAATACGTGTCTAATACTTTTTTAATTTCCATACCCTGTCATCATTCCTATCAAAATCATTATTAGACACATTTTTAACTAGTTTTAATTGATGTTGGTAGTACCTCGGATATTGCACCATTACGGCCACTTGACCAGTACTTCCCAATCTGTGCATGATGAGATAACTGTTGTATAACAGTAATTGGCTGCGCTGGCGCTGCCTCGGCGGTCACACTTTTATGCAACTGATCACGGAACTACGGACCGGGTCGATACGGTTACGGCTGATCGTAGAAACGTAGAGTATGAATGGAAGACTAATTAATCTATAGGTACTTTTTTGCACGGATGTTATTTTAAGGGGATTTAAATATATGCTTATATATTGACGACTCATAAATCTGGTAGTAATGAGGAATATACGAGATGATGCTGATAGCCTGATGTTGTATGATACCTGAATTTGGACCCATCAGTTTTCAATAGAATTTGACCGTGAATACTTATTGTACAGTACAGTAATTGAACCATCTACTTAAATAAATTCACTGAAGTAGTAATGGCATCTAAAGACACATAGAGGTCCGCTCATCGCTTTTGATAAACTGCACCAAGTATCTTTGCATGTTTAAGTGCATAATAAATACAAATCATATAGCATTCTCATTCAATAGGAATTCTTTATCTTCACTTAATCCACAGATAATCCTCATTACATTATGTTAAAGACTATGAAGTGAAGCGACTTCTAATCGTAAGGAGGTTGTAATTAGATAGAATTTAATCGTTAGCATCCGTGTCATGTCCGTGATGGGCTGATCAGTAGGCGGGCAGCGTTTACATAAGGGAAGGTCCGTGTTTCCTGATTATGACGTGATGAGCGTCAATATGTTGTTGTAGGGTTTGTATTAGTAGCAAGTCTTTGTCATATGCCTATCTACTGCCATCATCAGCAGCCCTTGATGTTTATTTACTGGATTGTGGACATTTTTAGTAGACGGGGTTCTCTATACTCATAATCTATCATGTTTCAACGTTTATTATCTGTACATGTCACTTCTTTTTAGCGTGAGAATTAATAAATGATTTTTCTTTATTTCTTTCTTTCTATAATCTCCATAAGGTTGATTGGAGTTCGCAGTTTATTCATTTAATATGCTTCATGCACAAAGTGTGTATATAGGTGGACTTAATGCCGCAGGCATTTTCTACCAATCTGAGCTTAGGATGATGCAGAGAAGAGTAAATGGTAGGTGCAAGAGGCAAGCAAAGATTTTATTTAACAAATGAAAGATAAACTAATATATTTCAGAGAGTTTAAAATTATTATAGGTTTATCAAAGAGCGCTGTTACCCAGTCTCTGTTAGTACTAATTGTTATTCGTATGGTTTTTTATAGACGCATCTGGTAGCAGTTTTCTTTTCAGAGCTGACAAATATACATATTAATTTTAAGTATTGTATCTTGAAATCAGAAAAATATTTTCCTTACAAACACCAAAAAGTAAGCAAGTAAACTATTTAGTAGATAATAATAAAATGTTTTCCTCAATAAAATGCTCCTTTAACAGAATATTAATTCGGCCAATGTTGACAGATAAGTTTTCCTCAAGCATTAAATCATCATCATCACCATCATATCAGCCACAGGACGTCCACTGCTGAAGATAGGCCTCCCTCAATGACTTCCAGATAAGCCAATTGGAACCTTCATCCAGCGGCTCCCTGCGACCTTAATCAGATCGTCTATCCACCTGGCGGGTGGACGTCCTATTAGCAAGTTGAAGTGGCAGTGGGCAGGGCACATAGCGCGGAGAACCGACGGCCGCTGGGGAAGAAAAGGTCTCGAGTAGAGGCCACGTACCGGCAAGCGCAGCGTAATCATTAAATAACTGACCTAATATAATACGCAATTAATATGGCCGCCATGACAGTATGGTAATAAGAGACGATTACAGATTACACTTAAGCTCCACATTCAAGAGTTAAGTTCAAACAGGTTGAGGTTATATCACTTAGCTTCATTTCTTAAATGAGTAATGTCATTTTCGCATTCGGTAGATGGCGCCACTGTTGATTAAGATCTTTGGTGCTCAAACTAATTAGCATGGTTAAAATAAAGTGATAAATAAAATGATACATTTGTTACAAAATGATGTAAAACGGATGTTTTTCCTTCTTTAGGAATTTTTATGAGAAATGGGTCGCGAATCTCCAGAATTGGTCGACCATAAGTAGTTTGAATTGTGAAGTATCATTATCAAAACCTGGGTTTATCTTAAAACTGCCACCACCCACCGAAAGATGGAAAGCAACATTTTTAAAATGTTGGTGACCTCCTTGCGAATTCCAAGATCCTACTCAGCATGGAAGATTTAGCAGCATTTAGTTCAGCATTCGATATATTCTGGTTGTTGATAGCATGGTGTATCTAAAAAATTTAAGTAACAAAAAATGTACACCTTTGATTATATATTGCAATACTTATATTGAAATAAACTAAACAAACAGACCGAGATACTTTGTTAATATTATGTCAGACACCGTGACTAATTTGAATAATAACATAGTTTTGAATAAATATTCAAAAATTGCAAAGGAAATGTGTAATACATTATGAAATTGATAACTAATTAGTTTTATTCTTATGGAAATTTTGTCTTTTTAGAGTTAATGTGGATTAAAAGGATGTTATATTTGATATTATTTTATTTCGTAAAATTAATTTATTATTAGTCTGATAATCTATATTTCTGTCTCATGTGTAATTGAACGCACAATGTTCTAATGCTCGTGTGCCCTATGCTAATGCCCTACCTTAAGAAAAAATTGGGTCTGAACATGGGGTCCGATCTGAGAGGGCCAAAAGACTCTCATGCTGCTGCTTATGTCCAGTTTAAGAACAATCTACCTATTCCTGATTTTGTATTAGATCCGATATACATAGCAAGGTATTTTATTTTATTATACAGAAAATAAATTCATATTACTAATCGTGTATTGTTGTGTGAACTTGCTATAGTTGACAGTTTATGGATATTTTACTAAATTAATTAATATTGTTTTAAAATGTGATGGAAATGGATTCCACTTTCGTTTTTAAACCAGTTTGTACTAGAAATATTATCATTTTTTATCTATTAGGATGCTTCCTCAATCAATTTCAGTTTAAGCTTATCTATCAATGTTTCATATTCTTAAGTGTCACTTTTATTTATTGCTTTGATTTTATCATTTGTTATAGTGTATTTATTACTCAACAGTACCATGATGTAGTTAATAATCTAATGTCGTACTCGGTTGCCTTTAAAGATGGATATTTTGCCAGAGTCTGTGTTTCCTGAAGGATATAACTTGGGTGTCTTCAAGGCCCGAGTGAATAGGTTATCTTATGGGCAGACGTGCTCCGTCGTAGGCCGCATCATCGCTTACCACATGGCGAGATAGTAGTCAATCGTCGGCCCATCATATAGTATAAAAAGCCTAATGTTACTCATGTCATGTGATATGAGTGGTAAAGAGCAAACCTTTTACTATAGAACTTACAACGAACACATTCAGACTTCGTGCTATTAATGACATGTTTCAGAAATAATAAATTTCAATTTTTTTATTTAAAAAGTTCCTATGAAAAATATTGCATTTTTCATAGGAACCCTCTTCATCAAGCGCCTATGAAATTCATCGCCGGCTCGACCGAAGTGATACCACGGTCTTGTAGGATAACAGCGTGTAACAACGTTTATATATTTTACCGTGTGACTGAGGGTACCGGAGCGAAATTATGTTTGTTCTACTTAGACATCATAAGAGAGTGATGTCTTTACCTAGAGATAAGATGCTTTGACCAGGACCGCGAGAGCTCAGGTAACAACTAAACCTTCGTCTATAGTAATAGGGTAGACGACTAATTTTTATTTTAATGTCCGTCTGATAGATTATTTAAAAACATTAGACACGTATTTTTTCTTTTCTCACAGAAACGAATAGTTTCGAAGATATATTGATTTGAAATGTCGCGTGACGTCACTTCTCAGTACATTTTATACTAAGAAATGACGTTTTAGCCCCCACTCCTAAACTTTGATTCGTTTTATCTAAGTATTGTTTTATTATACGACAAAATAAAAAAATACGTGTCTAATATTTTTTCATTACCTAACTTACGGACTAATTATATTTTTAATTTTCATACCCTGTCATCATCCCCATTACTGTTGAACGTTACAAAACTGAAATGAACTTTGATTTCCCAAAAATAGAAGTACATAAAAATCAAGGTGTATAAAAGTGAATTGAAAAAGCAGTCTGTAAACAATAAACCAGTATTCTGAATTAAGGTAAAACTACATTTACATAATTATTAATATGTATCTATTTGTTTTAGTAGCTTAACAAACCCTCAAGTCTTTAAGCCCAAAGCAACCAAGTTTTCAGATGTTATCTTAGTTAACATTGACCTTTAAGATAAAAATCAGTTTTCGTATTTTCAGGTGCTTACAGAAAATTTGAATACCCTGTTACACTTAAGTATTCACATGTTAAAGTAAACATGATTATAAGCAATGTGTATTGTACCTATGTTAAAAAAAATTGGTAATGCCCAAAATTAATTTTTCCCAAGTTGCCCAAGCTTGACACTTCGGGGCGACTCGCTGGTACAAATATCCGTTTATTCGGCGCGTGCGCTCATTCGCGATCAACTTGTCGTTGCAACCTCACCAATAATTACATTCAGTTTTAACCGACTAACACAATGAAAGTGATATTAGTTTTCTTGTTCTGTGTTGTTTGTGCACACGCTAGAGTGACGCGTAAGTATCATTATTTCATATTTTACGGGAATATTTTACGGTGCCAGGATTTGGACAATATTTACGGGAACTAGGTATTTGGACATAAGAGTAAATAATAACTTTTTAATCAGGTTTAAAGTGGTCATTAATTTCAGCACGGTAATTAAATTCCAATCAAGTGTATTTTCAGTGTAATTTCATTGAGAAATCGTTTCATTTCTGACATTTTGTTTTAAAATCGTTTTATTGACGTTCCAGTGGTTTTATTGTGGCTTAGTCTTAATGCTAATTAATTTTTATTTAACGAGTGATTGTTATCAGTTTAATACGAAGATTGACGTCATAATTTTGAGCAAACTGTTTACTTATTACTTTTGGTAATTGTTGAACTTTGGAAGCCAAGCCGAATCCTTACTAATATTATAAATCGGAAAGTGAGTTTGTTTGTTTGTTTGTTCCACTTTCACGCCATAACTACTAAACCGATTGCTATGAATTTTTGCAGATGTATAGTTAGAAGTCCGGATTAAATAATAGGGTACTTTTTATCCCCGAAGATTTGATATTTCCGAGGGAAAACAAAAGTATTGGTATAGATGGCGCTGTGTGTATTGGTATATGTCACATTCGCTTTTATCCTTTTTTGACGCGAGCGAAGCCGCGGGTAACAGCTAGTTAGATATAAACACACTTACCTATACCCGTTTTCATCAACCTCTCATTAATTTTAACAAGGAGTTTCTTTAAGCTATGATAGATGACAATTAACGTCATTTTTGATTGTTTTCATCAATCTGTAAGTGACTGACACCTAACAGTCAGGGGTTAGTTTAGGTGTTACTCACGCTAAGTGGCTTTAACTTAAGTGACAGTATAGGGTGAACCTAAACTGTGATAAATGATGTATTTATTGAAAATTATAAAGCCGGATACCACAGGCATTCAACTGTTGATAATTTCGCAATACAATCTTAGTCTTAAAAGACTGCCTCGTTGGCCGAGTGGTCGCAATTGCGACTGCCGAGCAAGGGGTCTCGGGTTCGATTCCCGGGTCGGACAAAGTATTACTGGGTTTTTAAAAAATTCTCAGTAGTAGCACGGAGTCTGGAGCTGTGCCCGGTATATGGCAATAGGCTCACCCCCTATTACATGGGACTCATAACATAAATAGTGAAAAGTGGGTGTTACATTGTACAGTGGTATAATGTGCACCTCTGCCTACCCCTTTGAGGATAAAAGGCGTGATGTTATGTTATGTTATGTGTTCTTAAAAGATAAGATGACATAACGTACCAACTAGGAAAGGTAAACAGTAGATGCATAATAAATGCCAGTTTGTTACGAGTCCTCTTATATGGTAAGGGGTAAGCCTATTACTATAGGTTAATTTATCTAAAATTCCCAGATCGGGATATGTATTAGTGGGTTTTTTAAATAAAATCTCAGTTGTTGCACGGAGTCTGGATTGTGCCCGGTATATGGCAATAGGGTCACCCCCTATTATATGGGACTCATAACATAAATAGTGAAAAGTGGGTGTTATATTACACAGTGGCATTAAGAGCTGTAATGTGCACTTCTGCTCACTCCTTTGGGGATAAAAGGCGTGATGTTATATTATGTTATGATTTATCTCTATATCTATACTCTTGAGCACATATAAAGCTGAAGAGTGTTTGATCGAACTTATCTCCGGAACTGGTCCGAATTGAATAATATTAATTGTTATGCTGGATAGTTCCTTTATCGAGAAAGGTTTTATGCTATAAACCGTCACGCAACAATCAATTTAACTCGTCGAGTACCGTATTTATAGACACAATTAAAGAACAATAGGTTGCGGTCACCGGTGACCGCTTGGTGTTTGACAGTTTAAGCCGAGCAACGGGTGAAACCGCACAAGTGTAGGTAGTTACCTAATTAATTATAAATAACTAGCTAACCCGACTTCTTTACAAGTTTTTCTCATCTTTTAAACCTTCCTAAGTTTCAATACCAAAATAAGCCAAATCGGTTCAGCCGTTCTCGAGTTTTAGCGACACTAACCAACGGAAATTCATTGTATTTAAATCAAAATTAACTTAAATCGCGGGTTACTCACGTGAATATACTGAGAAAAGCTCTACTTGTTTCGAACCACAGTGGGGTTCTTCCTTATGAGCAGCGTCGCGGCGATATGTTTATATCCATAGATAGATAAACTAATTAATAATTAACTAACCTAACTTAGATTAACTTATTAATATCTTGCTAGAAATTTAAAATAATTTCGTTATACTAGAGGCATGTTTTGCTCTATTTATCAACTTTTTTAGAGATTGCATTGTCATAGTTACAACATCAGTCGGCCGTTGTTTATGTAAACTTAGACTTAACTGTGTAATATCTAGAGTAGATACTGCTTTGTGGTTGTTATTGTTGATAGTATTGTTAGGAGACTAGGCAAACGTAGTGCAGGGCGCCCTCTAGCTGGATGGAGTGACAATATCGCAAAGTGGCTGGCAGTGGTTGGACGCGTAGAGCTGAAGATCGAGTTCAGTGGCGTGCCATTAGAGAGGCCTTTGTCCAGCAGTGGACGAGAACAGGCTGTTTCTTTTAAGGGGGAAAATCATCGAATGACTGCTCTCGCCTGGGTGAGGCGGGAGGGAGTGTCAGACTCTTATTGACTAAAAACCACCCCGTTCCTTCTCCTGCACGTCGTGCCGGAGCCCCGGTTACCCGTTAGGTTCTCCGTGACGAGAACAGGCTGTAGATGATGATGTTAGTAGACTAGGAGACCTTGTCAGACCCGTGCGTGCGGCGCGTCGCGTTCCGCGCGCGCCTCAAAAAGCCATCAGACCACCACAGATCGGGCCCAGTAGGGCTGATGCTCTATACGGAGCCGCGGAAAGCTTAACGGGTTGCCGGGGCTCCGGCTCGAAGAGCAGGAGTAGGAACGGGGTGGTTTTTAGTCAGTAAGACTCTTACACTCCCTCTCGCCAGTCCACGGCGGGAGAAGACATTGGATGATTTTCCCCCTCAAAAGCTAACTTCATTTATTAAAGTAATTAACTATTCATTGAATTAAATTACATAATTGACATTGTAGACAAGTTTGATAAGAAATGGTAATCCATTTCTGGTCAGGGCCTTCATAACATCATCTTCATGCTGAAAGATGGTGGCTGTTGGTGATCTGTCTAACTGCCGACTTGTCTAATCTATACTAATATTATAAAGCTGAAGAGTTTGTTTGAACGCGCTAATCTCCGAAACTACTGATTCGATTTGAATATTTTTTTGTGCTGGATAGTCCATTCATCGAGGAAGGCTATAGACTATAAAACATCTCACTGCGACCAATAGGAGCCGAGCAGAGCGGGTGAAACCGCGCGCAAGTTGCTAGTTAACAGATATACCTAATATATAGACTGGTAGAGGGTGTTGTTTACCTTTACCTGTCAAGCCAATAACCGTTTATCCGTAAATTAATTCATTGTAAATACATTTTCTACATTTAACTCGCCGGTCGATAATTTGTTAGTTTTAGATATCAAATAAATCAATAATTTCAAAATTATTAAGTATAAAGTACTAGCTTTTACCCGCCGCTTCGCTCGTGACTTATACCAATAAATACAGCGCCATCTATATCAATACTTTTGTTTTCCCTCGGGAATATCAAATTTTTTCGGGATAAAAAGTACCCTATTATTTAATCCAGACTACTAACTTTACGTATGCAAAAATTCAATGCAATCGGTTTAGTCGTTACGGCGTGAAGTCGGAACAAACAAACAAACAAACAAACTCACTTTCCGATTTATAATATTAGTAAGGATTACTGTAAACCGATTTCGGATGCAATAAAATGAAAACTGAGGTTTTATACACAAGGTTGTTTATTTTTACTGCTACAAATACAAATATTTATTTATTGTCCTACTAATATTATGAATGTGAAAGTTGATTTGTATTTTGCTCCTTCACGGTCAAAGCTGAAGGGATCTAGATGAAATTTGTCTCACGAGAGCACGGGAAAAGCCGATGTCAGGAGCTAGTTTTCATATAATTTTAAGGGCTTTTACTCACAGGATTATATTTTTCTGTAGGCTATTACGGCATTTAATGCCACTGTACAATGTAGCACCCGCTTGTCAATATTTATGTTATGAGTCCCATGTAATAGGGGGTGAGCCTATTGCCGTAAACCGGACACAATTCCAGGCTCCGTGCTACTATTGAGATTTTTTTAAATAATCTAATAATACTTTGTCCGACCCCTAATCGAACCCGAAACCAATTCCCTGACAGCCACAATTGAGACCACTAACGAGGCAGTCATTTAAACACAACAGAATATTAAAATCAATAGTAAAATAAACAATATCTTATTAAGAAACAACATCTTTCCTCTGCAACATGCAACAAAAAAGTCGCTATCCGCCGTCTGTCTGTCCCTATGTATGCATAGATCTTCAAAACTGCACAACGGATTTTGATATGTATTTTTTAATAGATAGAGTGATTCTTAAGGAACACTTATATGTATAATACATGCATATTGCACCCATGCGAAGCCGGGGCGGGTCGCTAGTGTTACATAAAAATCAATACAAATAAACACACGTGGTACCTATATAATCTCAAGGATATAAACAACTCGGTCGTTTACCAATCGTTACGTGCATGATCAGTTTAAGTATGTGATCTAAGGCTTAGTACATGATGTACTATTGAAATATAGTGTAAGCTTACTGAATACATATGGGAATATTCTTCATTATAATGGTCTATTTGAATTCTGTACATGTGTTTGTCTGGTCACTCTTGGTGTTACACAAAAAATCCCTTTGGTGATATATGTATGTAAATATGTGCTTAGCAGAACTTGAGTTTGTCAAAGAAAATGAAGTTAGATTTCATACATTTTTAAAGAAGATTATTGCCTTGGTTGGCTCCTGTGGGAGTATTATTATCTCCTATGACAAGAGGAGGGATGGTGTCACAACAAGTTAATGTACTCTTGTTATTCAATCTCACCTAAACTATTTAACGATGAGAGTTCAGGCCACAACACAGATATCAGTGTTTAAATGATAATGCATGTTAAAAAGGATTTGAACACCATTTATTGCGATCCAAGGATCAAATCTATAACTAAAATCTATACTAAAGCAAATTAGACATGTAAACAGCACAGGATGTTATTTACCAAATTATACCAACAACATTCGTGTAATATTTGTCCAAGTTGAATCCATGCGTAAAATCGCAGGCATGTAACGGGCTTTACGCAAAGGAAATGCATCTAGCCCAAGGCTGTATCCATTCACCGCGGCCCTTATAAAGTTTGGGTCACACCTAACGATTATTTTGTCGCTAAGTGATGACAGGAAGGGTATGGTTGGATGATCGGTTAAATTAGTGTTATTTTTACCACTGGTTATTGCAACCAGTACTGTCTTAATACGTTTTTTCCGTTGCTAAGCCAGTATTATCTAATTTGTTTGAGTTTTTTCCGTAGTTAATTGAAGATTAGGTGTGTTTAGTTAGTCAATTGTTTTGCATTAATAAAAGAGGTTAACGTATAATGCTTTGACGGTCGAGTGCAATTTGCAAGCAGGTGCGATTCTGGACAAGGGGTCTCAGAGTCGCATTGTTGTTTCTGAAAAATGTTAGGTTAGGTTAGTTTGCTCATTCTTTAGGAAAACTGCGTGATACCATGACATGTGTTCATAAAATGGTACATAACAATCATTTTGAAAACTAGGTTTTAATTTCCGGCCCTAGCAAATATTAATAATGGACATATTATGTCAGTCGTAAAGTGTCCTCGAATTATGACAGTATAGTGTTATTATCTAGTCCTATTGTTCAGGAGGACACCTATAACTACATCATTACGAAATACTAGGCAAGGTTCACACTCCATACTTATTATTTAGGATTTCATAACTTAGGTATTTGTCTCAGTATGATCTATTGCACATATGACGTATGTTTATTTGTGAAATTAGAGTTTAGAGAAGTCTCATTGTTGTTTGACATTTTCGACGATGCAAGACGTATTATTTAAAGAATCTATTTCAATTACACTAACAATAATTCGGAGTGGTCGCAAGTGCGACCGGGCCCCTTGCCCGGTCGCAAGTGTCTTGGATTTGATTCCCGGGTCGGGCAAAGTATTACTGGGTTTTTTATAAATTCTCAGTAGAAGCACGGGGTCTGAAATTGTGCCTGGTATATGGCAATAGGCTCACCCCCTATTAGATAGGAGTCATAAAATAAACAATGAAAAGTGGGTGTTACAGTGTACAGTGGCATAATGTACACCTCTGCCTGCCCCTTACTCTTAAGTTTGTTATTAAGTCTATTTATTTACTAAATAGAACTTAATTTAACCATCCAATTCCTTCATTCACAGCGGACTACTTCCCATCATGCAAGAGGAGTGATCCCCAAATTGAGAAATGTGTCCTCAACGGCCTGGAGGCCATGAGGCCTCGTCTGAAGGAAGGTATACCTGAGGTGAACATCCCTGCCTTGGACCCCTTCACCGTACCAACCCTGAAGCTCGACAGAACTGCTCCCAACTTGAGGCTGAAGGCTACTGTCAAGCAAGCGAAGGCATACGGCGGCAGTGACTTCAAGATTGAGAAACTGAAGTAAGACTTGATTTTCGGTTAAATATTTATCTAGCTTTTACCCGCGGCTTCGCTCGCGTCACAAAAGGATAAAAGTAGCCTATATGACATATACCAATACATACAGCGCCATCTATATCAATACTTCTGTTTTCCCTCGGGAATATCAAATTTTTCCGGGATAAAAAGTACCCTATTATTTAATCCAGACTTCTAACTTTACGTCTGCAAAAATTCAAAGCAATCGGTTAAGTAGTTACGGCGTGAAATCGGAACAAACAAACAAACTCACTTTCCGATTTATAATATTATAGTAAGGATATTTTATTTTATTTCAAACCTTTATTGTTCAATTAACCGCTTGCCCCGGCTTTGTGTTGGGCTGTTCTCTGAATGTCCCATCAATGTAATTTTTTTGTCAATATCCAATTTTTAGTACTTATACTTTTAATGTTCAGGTTTGTAAGTTCTCACATTCAAATGTTTGAGGTTAGGGTAATCAGCCACATATCAATCTATACAAAACCAGTTTACCCTGGTGTCGCGTCGCATCATCTTTCCGCACGTATAACGTTCAGTTTATACTGGTTATGTAAAGCTCCATGTGTAGCCGTGTGTACAACGGCTATCTTTTATATCATGATGTACTACATATTTTAACTAGAGAAAATAGAGTTATACAACATCTAGATTACACGCTATAAATGTACTAGAATCCTAGTTTATGTTACCGCATGCGCGGGCGCCATATGAATGCCGTAACTGTAAATTTTGTGAATGTTTTAAATTGCTAGCGAGCTGAAATGATGTATCTAACAAGTGCTGATTTTATCACTTTATCATAGTAATATGAAGGTTACAGTTTTACGTTTCATTATTTATCTGAAATCATTGTAGATAGAATAAGATTTTTTTGTGTTGGGTAATCCATTTATTAAGGAAGGCAGGCTATAAAACATCACGCTGCGATGGGTGAAATCGCGAGGGAAGAGCTGTCGTACATAACTAAGGCTATCGATTTCCGTAAAAACAATGAGAATACTTCTTGAATAGCATCTTAACTTCTTTCATCACTTTCAAAATGAAAAGGTGGTTTCACTTACCGTTTACCCAATGGTTTCCAGACTGAACCTGAACAACAAATACGCTGGAGAGCTGAAGCTGACGCTGCCGAGGCTAATGGTGGTCGCCAACTACGATGTGAAGGGATCCAGACTCCTCGCCCTCGACATCAATGGAAAGGGACGCCTGCGTGGAAACTTCAGTAAGTTATCAAATTAGATTTAAGTATAACGATTTATGTACAAACAATATATAAATGACTGCCTCGTTAGCCGAGTGATCGCAAGTGCGACTGCCGAGCATGGGGTCACGGGTTCGATTCCCGGGTCGGGCAAAGTATTACTGGGTTTTAAAAAAATTCTCAGTAATCAGCATGGACTCTGGAAATGTGCCCGGTATATGGCAATAGGCTCACCCCTATTACACGGGACTCATAACATAAATAGTGAAAAGTGGGTGTTACATTGTACAGTGACATAATGTATACCTCTGCCTACTCCTTAGGGGATAAAAGGCGTGATGTTATGTTATGTTATGTACAAATAATACACTTAAATAACGTAATTATGAATAAATATACACACCTATACAACTTAAAATTAATTAAAACTAAAACAATGAATAAAAAGAAGATAAAAAAGGTTAATAAGTATCAACAATTAGGCGTCAAAAATAATTAATTATTTAAGTTATTTATAATTATACTATTTTGGTTTCTTTGAACACACGTACGTAAGAAGGTGTTACATCACATTTTTATCGTTTGTTGCTTTGGTATTTGGTATACTGCCATTTTGTAGTTCCTTACAAGTGATGGTCGATGATTCCTTTATTATTGTCTAATCATCAGGGTCAATTTACGACCAAAATTAATAGGTGTTCTTAATCTAATATCGATCCAGATTTTAAGAATCTGTAGTCAAATATCAACCTTAATTCAAAAGATTATAGATTAAAATTGGTTATAAACCTTTTGTCTGTCGGTATACGGGACACAATAGAAAACACACTCGCGTAAATCTGAGTTCCGACGTTTCACAGGTTAATTGTAATCCTCTCTTAATTTAAATCTTATCTCAAAGTAGAAAGATACAAATTAGACTGCACGGCTGGACAACCTGCCGCGTAACGTGTCCAGCGGGTCCGATTCCCGCACGGAACAACCCTTTGTTGTTATCTACAAATTATTGTTCCGGGTCTGGGTGTCATGTGTATGTTTGTAAACGCACTCGCGACTCACGCGAAAATCCTAATGTGGGGCAAACATTAGGATTATCCCCTGTGTCGTGGGTGCGTACTTAAAAAAGTAAAAAAGAAAAAAAAAGTGTTCGAATAATTTTTGTTTTTCATTTTACTCAGTTATAAACAAATCAATCCTTTTTGCCAGTTTAGAAACTTCTAGCATAAATTATGTTATCAAAAACAATATCTGTGGATAATAGCGGATTTCAGTTATTTACAAACTAATGTTTTAATGCACAGATTAAAAACCGCTTAGGTTTAACGCGAAGTGAATAATTTTAGGGTTAAGTATGTAATATTTAAGTACTAAATAAATTATAGGCATTTTAGGTGACTAAACAATTAAACAGTGCCCTTTCTATTTTCAAAACTGATATTAGTAGTTAAAATTAAAACCTCATTCGGTTTTGTTTTTAAATATGTTTCCAGTGTATTACGGTTTTTTATCGGATAAGTCGGTAAACAAGCAAACAACTTGATGGAAAGCAATCGGCTTCGCCCATGGACATCCGAAACACCTGAGGCTTTACAAGTGCGTTACCGGCCTTTTCGCAATTGGGAATTTGAGGATTGTAATTGGGCCTCCGGTAACCTCAGCCACACGACGAAACACAACGCAAGCGTTGTTTCACGTTGGTTTTCTGTGAGGCCGTGGTATCACTCCGGTCGAGCCGGCCCATTCGTGCTGAAGCATGGCTCTCCTACACTTAGCGTGTTTCCCATGGGTCCCAGTAGATTAGGTACAATTTTTTCTTTAAGACAAGTACTTTCTGTTTGTTTTTAATACAAAAAAACAATGTAGTATTTTATTTGTGCATTCAGAACAATTCATAACACATTAACTAGGTAGCTGACAAGTGTGGCAATCGAAGCAATCATGCAATTTGAAATTCGAACGCGTTTTTTTTTTCATTGTAATGTCAAGCATGTAATTGTTTTTTTTTTTAATTAAATGGATGCTATTTATTACACGTGTTTATTTCTAAGTAATTAAAAATGAATTATTTAAATAGGAGTAATACAAATGTCTTCGTTTTGATAGATGGAATTATCAATGACAAGATGATTTTTACTGTTTAAATTAATCATTTTAATATTTTTTTTTGTACTAAAGTACTGAACTTACTTTTTAATAAACAATTAGTAATAATGTGGTTCCCTATAAAAGGATTAGATTTATTTTAAGTATTAGGTATCAGAATGCACACAGTATAACAAATTCAATCCTATAACTTTATTTGTTCCTAGAAATTAATAAATAAACAATTATTTTTCCAGCTGGCATCACGGTGGTAGCGAAGGGTTTCGCGAAGCCCATTGCTAAGGATGGCGTGGAGTACTTGCAGGTCGACAAGATTGTCTCCAAAGTCAGGATCAACAACGCACAGATTGCTATCGATGACACCGAGAGGCCGCTAGCTGGTAATTATCACAATTCATCACTTTTTTTCATACCCACTTGACAGTAAGCTCACTAGATGGCACTAGTGGGACAAATTGTCCCTTACGTTTATAATTGGTTGGGTTTAGAATTGATTAATTAGACGCTGATTTTAAGTCAGACTAAGACTTCTAACAGTATTTTAGTATTACATTACGATTATCTTACTCTACTGCATTTGAATTTCATTTGCACCTAATTAGCCATGAGATAACACTTCTTTTTTGTAGGTCTATGATTAAGCTACAAACCTCTTTGAAGTTACTTATTGGCATTTTCACTTACCTTAACCTTTTTTTTACAGCGGCTTCAGCAGTGTCATTCTTCAACGCCAGTCCTAACGTGGTTCTGGACATCCTCAACCCCCTGATCGAGGAGACCACAGCTGCAGTCATCAAGGCATTCGTGAACAAAATCCTGGGGAGTATACCCATCAGTGAAGTGTTGACAGATGATGTTTCTGCCGCCTAAATGTAAATAGGTTATGTTAAATAGGTTTTATTTAGTTTTGAGAGGGTGTTGTTATAGTTAAAACGGTTTTTCAATTTGTGGTCGTGAGTGAAATTTGGCTTAGACCATATCTTAAGTAGATGATGCATTTACAAAATTAAAAACGTCAACATCTGTATGGCATTTGAAGAACAATAATTAGGTCATTTGGATAACATTTAAAACATGGAGATTGCAATAATAATTACTGAGTTTGGTACCATTGAATCTGTTGAAGTACAAAAAAAAATATTGTAGAAACGTTTTTAGGCGTTTTTGAAGTTGACTGCACTGGCGCGTGACTGCCGCGTAACGTGTCGTGGGTACGATTCCCGCACGGAACAATTCTTTGTGTGATCCACAGATTGTTGTTCCGGGTCTGGGTGTCATGTGTATGTGAACTTGTATGTTTGTAAACGCACCCACGACACAGGAGAAAAACCTAGTGTGGAGCATCATTAAAAAAAAAAAAACAAAAAAAAAAAAAATAATAAAGCATTGGCAGTATATATTTATCAAAATGTCAACCTATAAACTGTTTATAGACGACCGTAAAGTCTATCCAATTAGTTCTTTTATCGTCGGTCCTAAACGATCGTTTTATTGGCGACTCATTATAAAGTGAGTTTGTAATAATTTGTTACTTCATCTACTTAAAACACCTTATATAACCCTCTCACTTAATATAAATCTAGTTAAGAAATAGTCGATAGAATATTTATTGATTACAAAAATATATTGTCACTTTGTCAAGGATTGCTTTAATGCGAAGCTGTGAATATCATCATGACACATATTATTTCTATGTGTACCTTTACATTTATATTTCCTCTAACTTTTGCTCGTGTGGTTAAAGCTATGAGAAATTTATACTAAATCCTCTAAAACACACTATATATTAAATTAACTAAAAATCGCGGGTTACTCACGTGAATATACTGAGAAAAGCTCTACTAGTTTCGAACCACAGAGGGTTCTTCCTCATGAGCAGCGTGCGCGGTACGTATATATTGGTAAAAAGTATACCTATCAAAATCAGTCCAGTAGTTTTTGAGTTCATCGCGTTCAAACGCGAAAGGGATCTTTATTAATAAAATTTAAGGATTCATATACTTATTAGGTATTGTATTAGACTTCTTTAAAATGTTGTGTTGAAACTGACGAGTCCAAACTTAAATAGTTTATATACAGCTAGACAAAATTAAATGGATTATTCTCGTCAGTGTCCTTTTTAAGGTATGAAAATAAATAATGATTGTACCTGTTATTGTGATGAAGGCTGTCTAATTAGGGTTAAGATTGTAAATAAATTATACCTATATTTTACCATTGTGTTTTATTACTCACTAAACATATTTGTGTTACCTATGTATAGTTTTATTTTGTACTGACTACACAGTTGGCGCGGTGGCTGGGCAACCAGCTGCCGCGCAACGTGTTGCGGGTTCGATTCCCGCACGAAATCACTCTTTGTGTGATCCACAGGTTGTTGTTCCGGGTCTGGGTGTCATGTGTATGTGAAATTGTATGTTTGTAAAAGCACCCACGACACAGGAGAAAATCCCAGAATGGGGCAAGGTTTAATAAAAATAAATAAAAATATACACTTATCGATTACATATTTGCTCTTTTAATGGCTAATTACTGAAAATAATCTTGTTCTATATAGAACTATATACCTGCAATTAAAAATAACTGTCCGAGTAACATGACAAACAGCTCTCTTCGACTACTATCGGTTATATGCGCTGGGAACGAAAGTGTCTATACTCCTCATATTTATGCTCTTCATATACGTAACTAAATTGATTGATGATCGATTTCTGACCTAGTCAATAAGGATGTAAACACACAGGATTGTGGCAGCCTCGAGTAAGGTTAAGGGCAACCTGCACTCTTTCCTTATTGCCTTCTGTGACGAATGTACTTACTTCCGGACCGTAGATTATGTAGTGCAGAAACATAACAAAAACTCTTTATAAACTACGTTTAAAAACCGACCAAAACCTTCTTGGTTATTAAACTGTCAAACACCAAGCGGTCACCGGTGACCGCGACCTATTGTTCTTTAATTGTGTCTATAAAACCGGTACTCGACGAGTTAATATACCAAAACCTTCTCTTAAGTGTAACAAACACTTTTCTGAAAAAACGCATCAAAATCGATTTAGCCTATCGCGAGATAATCCTGCACAAACAAACATACATACATACATATCTAAATACACACATACATACATGTCAAAATGAGAAACTCCTCCATTTTTTGAAGTCGTTTAATAAGTACCTAAATACAGATTACAGATAATAAATGTTTTTGTGACAAAAATAAAGTTCTTTAATCTATAACAATATAATCCATCGTCGGCCACATCATCACTTACCACCAGGCGAGATAGTAGACAAACGTCAGTCCCAACTAATACAAAAAAAAAATGAAAAATACAACTATTGCTTCTACATCACCTAATTCTTCAAATAAGTTGAAAATCGAATGTGATTGATTTTAGAATGTTGTCTTTGCATGAGACACTGGTTGTGACGCCCATGCAGGTGCGCAGGATCATATGTTTTTTTTTTCAGTTAGGTTAACAATTGGTGCATTGGAGGTCAGGTGTACATCTTTTTTTTGTTTTTTTATGACCTTCGGGCGCCTAGGTTTTGGGGGAGAAAGACTAGGGAGTGCGAGATTCTTACCTCACTAAAACCACCCCGGTGGCCACCCTCAGCACCATCACTAAGGGGCACCGGGTCCTCTGAAGAGACCTGCTCCGGAGCCCCCACAAAAGAACAGCATCAATGCTGGTATCGAACCTGCGACCCGTTATCGTAAATCTCATGCGATAACCATTGCGCCAAGCTTGCAACTACTAATCGCGCACATATTATACAGTTTTACATACACATGGACAATTAAAATCAGATCTGAATCACCTGCAGCGTTTAATGCTGTCATTTCAATGAATGTCCTCTGCATACGTGCATATTTCAAATGACTAAACAACTTTGAGACAGGCATTTGTAATTGCAATCATTTCTCGCCCTTCCGACCTTCTCAAAGGTCCTATTCCTCATAAGGTAACTGGTAATACCATCAGAACTAATATAAGGGACTTTATTCTATTCTGACCCATAGATGCAATAGAAATCTAGACCAAAAAGGTTTAAAATGAATTTTTTGAAGTTAATTTTGTTAGTTATTTACGTGAATTGTGTTTGTGGAAGACGGGTCGAAAGAAGCCGAAATGAGACGAGCTATCACGATAGTAGTGATGCATCGAGTATAAGTAAGTTTTAAGATTGTTATTATTCAGTTCAGTAATGTTCCTGTGAGCTTCAGTGTTATTTTTTATGGGATAAGCCGGTAAACGAGCATGAGCATACGGGTTACCTGATGGTGGACACTTGGAACGCCAGAGGTGTAACAAGTGTGTTACCGACCTTTTGGGGATTTTGGGGATTCGATTAGGAGTTTGAGGTTTGCAGGGGATTCATGGATTGGAGAGATTGAAGAAGGGAGGGGCGGGGGCTAATTGGGCCTTCGGTAACCTCACTCACATGACGAAACAACGCAAGCGTTGCTTCACGTCAGTTTCCTGTGAGGCCGTGATATCACTCCGGTTGAGCCGGGGCCGGAAACATGGCTCTCCCACATTTTAAGAGTCTTGTAGTCATACTAATTCAATTGCGTTACCTTCTCTAAGTAGAGCAGATGAGAACGAGTCTGATGAACAGAGTCATGGACTTTATTTCCTATGCAAAGTATAGACAACATCCTAAATTTGTCTGCGGTGTTTAACAGATACTGAGTTACGAATAACTAATAACATAATTTGTAAAAATACCTCCAGATATGAGTTTTCATTGAAATCATTCGAAGTTTCGTGATCGATTATTTTTTATAAAAAGGAACTCGAAATTTTATAAATATTTTTTTTTAGGTAAATCAGCATGTCACTACACAGACCCGAACGTAGCAGAATGTATCCAGCGCATAGCAGAACAGGCTAGACACCTCTTGGCTCAAGGAGTACCGTCCTTAAACATCCAGCCGCTTGAACCTCTCAAGATCCCCAGCATCAGGTTACGGCAGCACAACATGCCACAGAACAGCTTCAAATATGATGCCTGGCTGTCTGACGTCGCCTTGGAAGGACTTACTAATTATACGTTCAATAAATTGGAGTAAGTATTTGGACATCGGGTGCTAATCAGCATGATGGTTTACCTTAAGTCACAATAATAAGCTGCTACTTATACCTAGCCGACCTAGGCAAAAATATAATTCTTCAGACAGTAGTCAGTATTTACGTTTTTATAATAACTATCGTAAGACATACTAAATTAACTAAAATCGCGGGTTACTCACGTGACTATCTACTGAGAAAAGCTCTACTGTTATCGAACCACAGAGGGGTTCTCATGAGCAGCGTGCGCGGTCGCGGCGATATCGCGCAGCCTCCTTCTTTTAGTAGAGCTCTTCTTGTAAGTAGAGCTTTTCTCAGTATATTCTCGTGAGTAACCAGCGATTTTAGTTAAGTCAGTATTTACGTTAGAAATGACACATTGACGGTTTTGTACTAAGCTATAATTAAGTTGAGGCTTAATTTGTGTTCTATCAATACTCTATACTGTTTCTTGATTTTGCAGTGTATACCCTGAAGAGTTGAAGGTGACTGCTAATATCAGTCTGCCACACCTATTGATGTCTGGAGACTACGTGGTGCTGGGAGACTTCCAGATGTTGCCCGTTGAGTCGACTGGGAAGATGGCCGCTAACTTTAGTGAGTAGTATATTTTATTGATGCCAGTATATTAAGATATTTATTTTTAATTATAAATGGGTGTCACCTTAGCAGTTTATGGAATGTAGTGCATTATGATAGTGGTGGCCCGGAGGTTTAATACGCCCGCTTCTCATGCAAGACAGTACGGGTTGGAAACCTACCAACGGGAAGTATCAATGTGATATTTTCCGAGCCAAAGCCAAATTTTAAAGGAAAACATCGTGAGAAAACCTGGACTTATAATTTCTAATTGTAAGTTTGAAATCTCCAACCCGCGTTGAGTAAGCGTGTGATTAATGCTCGCACCTTCTCCGTGTGAGAAGAGGCCTTTGGTCAGTAGTGGCCACTTATAGGCTGTAGATAATGGTGAATACATATAAAATTACATTCCAACAAACATGGTTGCAAAGTAGGAAGACATGAGCATTACAGATTCTATTATGTAAACCAATATGTCACAGTTTTGATCAAGGACAATCGGCATCGAAATATTAACACGCTTAGGCTTTATTGAAACTAGTTTTATATTTCTGACCTGGATACATTTTGTTAAGCTTACTTTTTGTCACCCAAGGTTAATATTAATCATAACATCACACCATTTATCCCCGAAGGGGTAGGCAGAGGTGCACATTACAGCACTTAAGGCCAGTGTATAATGTAACACCTACTTTTCAGTATTTATGTTATGATACCCATTTAATAGGGGGGTTAAACCTATTGTCATATACCGGGCACAATTCCATACTCCTTGCTACTACTGAGATTTAAAATAAAAACGCAATAGTACTTTGATTAATATTAAAATGATCAATTATTATTTTTTCTTTAGCCGAGTGCACGGCAGCTTTAGAAGCATTGGGAGCCAGGGTCCATAAGAGGATGGTGATCCGTGATGCAAGTGTACATCTGAGGTGTACGGGACCTTTGAAAGCAAGTCTCATGGAGGCACACTCTACTACTGGGGAAATGGGTGAGTTATCTTCTATCTTACAAGATCCTTAGAATACTGAGTATTTGGAAAAAATTGGTAGAAGTCTGGAGTTCGGTCCATTTAACGATAATAGGGTCGACGTATATTTTTTTTTATATTTGTCCACTATATCTCGCCTGGTGGTAAGCGATGACGCGGTCTACGATGGAGCACGTCGTCCCATAAGCAACATATTCACTCGGGCCTTGAAGACACCTAGGTTATACCCTTCAAGAAATACAGACTCTGGCAAAGAATTCAACTCCTTAGCAGTACGCACAAGGAAGCTTGATGCAAAGCGCTTCGTGCATGTGGGTTTAATATCTACCATGAATCGGTGACGCTACGCCAATTGTCTTGTGCACGATGATGGAAAGGACTAGGGGGAATCAAGTTGTACAAATGTTATTTGGGAGTAATTTTAAAATATTTCTGTGTCTATTTCTGTAGTTAATATCTGTTTAGTGTGCATTGTTCACGATAATATTCCATTGCAAAAAAGTACGACGCCACCTTTTTCATAAAAATTAAAGGCTAATATTTATTTTCGATTATATATAATAATATAGAGGTATATAATATAATATACACAAAATAAAATATACAAATTGGAATGATGACAGGGTATGAAAATTAAAAATCGAATTAGTCCGTCAGTTATGTAATGAAAAAATATTTGATACGTATTTTTTTATTTTGTCATATTATAATAAAACAACACTTAGATAAAACGAATCAAAGTTTAGGAGTGGGGACTAAAACGTCATTTCTACGTATTACATAGAAGTGACGTCACGCGACATTTCAAATCAATATATCGTCGAAAGTATTCGTTTCTGTAAGAAAATAAAAAATACGTGTCTAATGTTTTAAAATAATCTACCAGACGGACATTAAAATAAAAATTAGTCATCTACCCTAATACTTAATTAAACATGGTAACGTTATTGAATAAAGCCTTAATCCGCCATCTTTTTGTCGTTCCAGAAATGATAACGGACCACATAGCACAGATGCACTCGATGGACATCGCGAAGGAGGTCCAACCTGCTGTGGAGACAGCACTCGCTATGGTCTTGGAGGATGTAGCCAACAAGTTCCTTAAGCATATCCCTCCAGATATGGTCTTCGCCAATTAAACAGATTATTTTCGTACGCAATATTATGTTAGAAATGGGAGTCCGTATCCTCACTTCTGGAGGTTAAAAAATAATATAATTAGTCGCTGGTAACAACTTTTTTATTAACTTTTGTTGAATATGTTGCTATTAATATAGTAACAGGCGCTGTTATAAAGGAAAGTAATTTTTTATTTCTTATTTTTCATTGTTATTTAATTTAAATTAGTTATGATGCACCTATAAAGTATGTACCTAATAAGTGTAGTTTAAGTAATTTATTTTATTAAATAGTTACCTATATCACACACTCAGTGATAGAATTAGTGATATACCTAATATTTATTTCAATGTAATGAATAATAAAAATGTATGAAGTGTAATTTATGATAATAATTTATGGTAATTGTGAAAAATGTAATGTAAATGTAAAAAATGGAATAAACAATATAGAATGTTTGAAAATCTTTTTCACTGCTCTTTAGGTTTACATTTTTACCCGATTACGGCGAAGCCAAAAGGAGGGTTATGATTTTGACCGATGTGTATGTATGTATGTTCATCTCCCTCCTTACTCCTAAATTACTGGTCTTAATTTGATAAATGACCTATTATTAGAAGCGTCTCATTACTCAGCTGGTTATAGGCTACATAAAATATATAAATTTATAAGATAGAATAAGACAATAAGAGAGAATAAAAGATTTTAGAAAATTTTCTCGTTTTATTCTTTCTAGAGCATGTTCCTTTGTATTCCGGTTATAGTTTCGTAATTTATTTTTATTGCTTTTCTTTTTTTATTACCTTTTTAAAATATCCTATATCATGCGTTATACAATACACATCCATATGACTACATTATAGTAATTGAACATACTACCATAATTTCCAAATTACATAGGAAGGGAAAGGTTACATAAATTAATGGCAATCATAAAGGTAACTAAAAGATGGGTGCCCATACATTGTTCACGTTCTAATTAACATTTAGTTAAAACTATCATTATTTCGTGTTCATTTAGGTACTTATTGCAATGTTGCATTTATCTTTTGGGTGTTTCTTAAGAAATAACGGACGTTGGTGTTTTAATGTAAGTGATTATTTTGTTCATAATGTGTTCTTTAGTACCTAACTATCTAGTTTGTGTAGATTGATGATGATGATAAAAATTCAGGTTCTTTTTAGGCAGGCAGTACAAATTTTAAACTTTAGTAGAAAAGTTTAAAACTTTAATAGATAAGTTTAAAAATTTGTACTGCCTACCTTACCTATAACAACTTGAATTTTTATCATCATAATCATCAACAACCAAAAAAGCCTCTAACAAGAGGCACTGTCCTAGAGAAAATAGTATTTTCTTGGACATTATAAAAGCCAAGTCTAATATACCTAATTAGACTTGGCTTGGCATCAAATAAGAATTTAATCGAATTTCGAACATCACTTACAACAATCTCTTATCACAATATTGAACTCGCGGAACAATCCCATTGAAGACTACACAAGCGATATTTTGCAAGAAAAAAATAAATAAAACAGAACATTTTTTTTTGATGATCACGATGTGATATTATTTCAACTGAGTTACTACAACAAAAAGCTGATTGTGTAACAAGCCTAAAGTATGCCAATGTGCCGACTGGGCCAAGCCTACACTTACATCACACTTACAACATTAAACACACCGAATTAATATCAACTCTATTTTAAATAAACCCAAGGTTCAAATTACATGTTATTATGTTTTTTAGGTCAAAGACCCGTCATCACGGTGCTAAAATGCAACTTGCATTGTCACTTTCCGTCTCTGTTTGTTACTTTTTAAATTATTTAATATTTAATTACGCTTATAGTGTTGGAAAATATGGTTTAATTCCCTAATTATAAGGTTTCATTTCGTAATAATTTAATAAGCGCTTTGAGAGAAGAAATCTAGGCGTTTTAATGTGGTTGACAAACTAGTTATGAAATACTGTTTCTAGTCTTTCACATACACATAAGATTACACGAGGAATACATAATACATATTATTAATGCAACCATTTTCACCTGGTGTTTTTCTTAGCATTCTTTGTGGTTCTTTTTTAATGGGGAAAAATCATCGAATGCCTTCTCCCGCCTGGGTGAGGTGGGAGGGAGTGTTAGACTCTTACTGACTAAAAATCACGTTCCTACTCCTGCACTTCAGGTCAGTAAAAATAGGTATGCTTTCTTCTACTACTTTTCGATCACGATGTACCCGTATTTGAGCCCCATCACATCACATTTTTCTTGCATATCACTTCTCACACAACTATGTATATTTTTATGATACCTTTATCGTTATTTCAGATATCTTGCCCAACATCAAATAGGTACTAGTCTGATTAATCAGGATATAGAAAATTTTAAAATATTGCGCAAAATATCCAACTTAGAAAGATAAGAAAAAACTATTGCCTAACAAATTATCCGTCTTTGTACATGTGACAATAATTTCCTCAGTGATCGCGCGCTATCTCTATCTAATTGAGATGATGATAGCACTGATTTTGATTATCATCACGTCCCATTTTCATATTTAAATCACTTGTAGGCCCAGAATTCATTATAGTGTCTTTTAGTTTGTAGTTGTTAATTGTTGTAGAAGATGATCTGGTTTGTGGTGTGTTTCGTCCTGGTTCCATTCGTGGCTGGCGCTGATAAGAATTTAATTAATTGTAAGTATTATTCACATTAGGTTATATTGTCCATTAATAGTACAAAATGTTTAGAGTGTTTGCCTTTGCGATTACGATTGCTGGGAAAATCACCATGACTAATTTTGGACACTGGAACTGTAGAAACAAATCTTGTAAAACTGTAGTCTAAATCTTACGCAGTGGAATATATGTTAGTTGTATTTTTATAATATGTTCTATTTTTTTAATAGTTGGTGAGTTCGTGTGTCCCAGAGAAGAAAAGGCACTAGGCAGATGTCTACGCGACGCGTTGAACGCCTACATACCACAACTAGCAACAGGTAGGGAGAATGCAACATTTTAATCATAGTTTCGTGTTCCTTTTTATTTACGACTTATTTAATGATGTGTGCATATTCAGCTGTGAATATATGTATTAATATAATAAGTAAAAAGTGATAATTTTAATTCGTTAATGCTGACAACCAGTAACTTATTCTTTTTCATGTTAACACCATAATTTCTTAGCAAATATATGGACAATGCACATTGGACATGCACTATGAAATTGTGGTTTAAACTGTCAAACACCGCGAGGGCACCGGTGACCGCAACCTATTGTTCTTTAATTGTGTCTATAATGACGGTACTCAAAGGGAGCTGATTAATTAAAGAACATATCCTATACACTTTTAAAGGCTTTTTTATTATGTGTCAAAGTTTTTTTTATTAAGGTATGCTCATATGCCGCAAAATACAAATGCCTTATCTAATTTGAAAATAGAAACATGATATAACAATATGAAATGTGAACATAAATAAAATAATGCATAATGAATTACAGGAGTACCAGAGTACGGAGTGCCACCATGTGAGCCCCTCATAGTGCCAGCTCTCTCCATCCAGCAGTCCTCAGGACCCATATCTGTAAGGTCCAGCTACTCCAACGTGACAGTGAAAGGACCTTCCAAAATGCGCGTCAAGGATGTCGAGTAAGTAATTTTAATATACCTTTAGATAGATTCTAGAAATGGTAATGACTAATGTATCTTATTCGCACAGCAACTTGGGCAATTAAAAAAGTTCTCCATATGAATCCCACGAGTATGGGGGAAATAATCGGTCCACCCAGGCAGTGCCCCCTGTACCTGGTTAAGTATGAATTTGTTTCCCAACTGGAGGGTCCACCGGCCCCCCAGCTGGGGGTGAGCTCACGACTGACACTACTCCTCAGCCATGCATACCCTCGCCGCGCACCAGAACTTGGTATTGGAGGAATTTTTTATAAAGGTTATCTTCCTCTCGGGCCGGGTGACTAAGCCAAGACCCTCGTCAATAAGCCAAGGCCCAATAAGGCTGATGCCAATACGGAGTCGCGGAGAACCTAACGGGTTACCGGGGCTACGGCTCGAAGTGCAGGAGTAGGAACAAGGTGGTTTTTAGTCAGTAAGAGTCTGACAATCCCTCCCGCCGCACCCAGGCGGGACCGATCATTCAATGATTTTCAAAAAAAAATCTTGGTCTATTAGGTCAGAATACGATACCACACAAACGAAATCATAACAAAATAGTACCTAATTATCTACATGTTTCATTGTTTCAGTGTGAACACACAGTTGCACCGCGTGGTTGCGAGGTTGTACATCCCTGATCTTGAGATGACAGGCAACTACAGGGTGACTGGCAAGCTGCTCATGCTGCCAATCGATGGACAGGGGCACTTCGCTGCTAAATATGGTAATTTTTACAAAAACTACATAAACATATTCATATTAATTATCGTGAGAAATACAAAATTAACTAAAAATCGCGGGTTACTCAGTGAAAATACTGAGCTCTATTAGTTTCGAACCACAGAGGGATTCTTCCTCATGAGCAGCGTGCGCGGTCGCGGCAGTATAGTAATGACTGACTGTGTAGGCTGCGCGACATCGCAATATTGTATAATTTTAATTATTCAAATACAGAACAAGAAGAACTTGGAACAAGTTTATTCCGTGGTGGGATATGCTTATGATGTTTACTTCTGGACAGGTCTCGTGATTACAATACATAGGATTGAGTTTGAAAATTATCCCATTGCCATCAATCTATGCTGAAAAACAGGACGTTCTAAATACTTATCCAATAAGGCTTATTTTAAGCTTATTTTTAATAATAATAATATATGCTTTATTGTACACCACACAATCACATTATAGGATAAATATTAACAAAAATAGTGTACAATGGGCGGTCTTATCGCACAAGGCGATTTCTTACAGACAACCTTTGGATGGAGCAGTAATAGGAGTCTGATATGGGTCGTCAAGTGTACAATAATTAATAACTTTTTTACATCGGATTCAATTAAACATCTTAATTTTTCGGTCTATATCTCCAGGTGACATCGATGCAACAGTGACGATAATATTAGGTCGTCAGCCTCGCCCCAACGGTGTGGATGCCCTCAAATGTGAAGACCTAGCAGTCTCCTTCCACGTGGGACATGCTACCATGAAACTGGGCAACCTGTTTGGTGCAGACGATGAGTTCAGTAAGTATAGCTATTATATTTCTTTTTATTGTCTGCTATGTATACTGGTGGAGTTGATATTAATATGTTTAGACAGATAGATCAGGGACTCCAACTTTAATAGAATGACATATCCGAGTTTCTCAATTAACCTTGCGCTAGAATACCTAAATTGCTGTCGTATATCGTGTGTTAGTATAGCAATTGTGGCAAATAAATTAACATAACACCATACCTTTTATCCTCGAAGGGGTAGGCAGAGGTGCACATTATGCCACTGTACAATGTAACACCCACTTTTCTATATCTTTACTATTTATGTTATGAGTCTATGTAATAGGGGGTTAGCCTATTGTAATATACCGGGCACAATTCCATACTCCGTGCTACTACTGAGAAATTTTAAAAACCCAGTAGTGCTTTGCCAGACCTGGGAATCAAACCCGAGACCCCTTGCCCGGCAGTCGCACTTGCAACCAATCGGCCAAAGAGGCAGTCCGAGGCAAATATTTATGCATTATGATAATGATAAAAAGTGTATAGGCAGTGAGGTAGATCATTTTTAAACAGTGTGAATACTTTTTTTAGAGTAAAAACATTATTAATACTTTACAAGTTACATTCCAAGAATCGAAACACCTTTTTTGAAACCACGCGTTATTAAATTATAGTATCGTTTGAATGTAATATTTTATTAATAACAAGGCAATGTACTTACGTAAAACTAACTCTAATAATACGAGTACATACCTGTTACGTTGTAAATAATATAATATATTATTACGAACATTATTATATAAGGAGCTAGTTAAGAAATAATATTGTTAAGAATTAACAATGTGCCAACTTAATAAGATTATGTTTCCTAACTTGGTATTCATGTTTTGCTGCATAATATTTTAAACCAGAAACTTCTAGCGAATACTTATTTGAATGAAAATACTCATATATATGTTGTAAGTATTATTTGAATATTTCAAATGAATGAAGTTATTTTAATCTAGAGATAGGAGGCTGGAGAAATATATAGGATACTAGCTACTTTCGCGCGGTTTCACACGCTCTGCTAAGCTATTTTTGGTCGTAGCGTGATGTTTTATAGCCTATAGCCATCCTCGATAAATGCGCTATCCAACACAAGGAGAATTATTCAAATCAGACCTGTAGTTATGGAGATTAGCAGGTTCAAACAAACAAACAAACTTCCGCTTTATATAATTATATAGGATTGTATAGGATATTCTCTCCTTTGACCACGCACATTTACTTTAGTCTATTAACACAAGTGAATCCTCTGCAAAACCATTTTTAAAATCTTTCCAAAATTATTTATATACATTCAAACATTCTTTTGTTCCAGGTCACTCACTGAACCAATTCCTAAACGACAACTGGCAGAAGTTGATCGAAGAGTTGCAGACGCCTATGGAAGTAGCTCTCAGAGACTTCTTGAAGCCTTTAGCAGACCATACCTTCTCTACTCTCAATGCTGACGATATTCTCACCAATTAGAGATTTGTGATGTTGTGATTTAAAGATCTCAAGAAACAAATGCAAAATGTCTTAAATGTTAGTTGTTGTGTAATTTATTTATTAAACACTTTTTTAAATGTTTAATTTTGTTTAATTTTTTGTCTTATTTAAACATATTTTAACGTTGTTTTTCTGTGTTTTTTCTTTATCGTAATATACCTACTTGTGTAGTCTGTGTTGAAAACTATCAGTTATACCTGTATATGACTTGTAAGTGTGGCTTATAAATTTATTATTTATCTTTTTGTTTTGCTATCCATCTTACCTTACTTTAACTTATTCATATTATTGACCAAACCTAGTATCTCTAATAAATAGAGAATAAAGTTCTACGAATAATTATGATACAATAAAACAAAGAAAACTTGTAAATAATAATATATTCTTACAACTGAGTACAGTTTAATCATCACAATTGTTATTACAAATATTTAAATCTAATGTCTTAAGTACAAAGTTTAAGTACATTTACAAAGTATCGGGTGATCACTTAGTAACTTAAATAAATAAAGCTTATGCCCTTTGCATGGCTAATTAACATGTACACAATGACATTACTTTAGTATCCATCACTGTTTTTGTATCAAGATTTAAAGATAATGTATTAACTTGTTTAAAGTAAAGTCATTGTGTACATAGTTGGCTACAATTAATTCGTATCAAAGACTTTTAAAGTATCGTCTATACATTTTACTAGAAAAGGAGGTTTTTTTTTATTAATTCTTGCAGTTTTAATAGAAGTCGCATAAGAATAAGCACAAGATTTTGTTCGAAAACTACTAATATAATCTTTGTAGAAAAACAATATTGAGATCTTTGAACAGTAAAAAATCATTTAACAAACGCGATGGTTAAATAGAATGCTTTCAAAAACCAAAAGTAATAATAATATTCCAAAAAGCTAATAATCGTAGCAAAGGTTATTATTTGTACTATTACACAATCAGACGAAACTAGCATAAGTCGAGATAAAGTCTATAAAACGTTGACAAAAGTTGTTGGAACACACAACACTAAACTTACCAGGATACCAGACTTCTAATCTGTAAATTCTTCAATAGTACATCAATAAATGTGTCATTCCACGGGTCCAAGCTTGTATTGTTATACAAGGTTGGACCCGTGTATGTTATTAGCCGTGTATGTTGTATTGTTATGTTGTGTTGTTAGAGGTGATTAAAACACAGAGACCAAATTTTACGGATATTTTGAAAGCTATACACGTCGACCATTACAATATTTCTGTTTAGTGTAGGATATAAACTGAGCTAACGGATCACCTGATGGTAAGCAATCGGCGCCGCACTTGGATACTCGCAACAACGGATGAGTTACAATATACCGTTGTTAGCCTTTTGGGGATTAGGGATTGGGATTGGGAATTAGGGATTGGTGATTAAGGATTGGTATTGTAAATGGCGATTGTAATTGGAAATTGGGATTTGGAATGGAGATTGGGGTTTTAGGTTAAATGTTTGGGAATGGGGATTGGGGAATGGGGAATGGGGAATGGGAAATGCGGAATGCGGAATGGGGAATGAGGGATGGGGTGGAGATTGTGGATTGGGATTGAGGACTGGGATTGGGGATTGTGAATTGGGGATTGGGGATTGTGAATTGGGGATTGGGGATTGTGAATTGGGGATTGGGGATTGGGGATTAGGGATTATGGATTGGGGTTTGGTGTTGGGATTGGGATTGGGGGTTAGGATTGGGGATTGGGGATTGGTGTTTTGAGTTTATTTTTGGGATGGAGATGGGGATGGGGATGGGGATTGGGGATAAGGGTTTACGGGTGGGATAATTGAGGATAATATGATTTAGGCAGGGGGAATTGGGTCTCCGTCACCTGACTTAAAATCATTATTCCATTGAAGAATTAACAAACTAGAAAGATAAGAATCCAGGAACTAAATAGTAGAACATTGACTTTGTTTATTTAGCAGTCACTGGCTTAAGGTGTGAGCCACACATCGATGGGGATCTTAGAGAAGGCAGCGTTGACAAACGCCTGGAAATGTTTAGCTATGGACGCTGAGGCAGCTGGCCTCATCTCCTCGATGATCTCAGCCGCATTGTTGTTTAAGAACTGATTCATCGCTTCACCTGGAATTTTATAGAGAAGAAGATAAAATTTTGTAATGGACCAAGACCTGTTACGTTATGACCAAATTATTATATGGGTTTTACTTGTCAAAAACGGTCATATGTATTTTTCTGATCTATTTCAATTTGATCATAATTGATGATAAAAATGGACAAAACATATTTCTTTAATTAAAAAATTGTGTCTATAAACCAAGTGAGATATCATCATTTATACACAGCGTTTACTAAACAAACTAAGTAAAAGTGACTTACCAATAACACTGCCGTGGTTGACAGTGTCCTTCACCTTGAACCTGGAAGTCCTCAACTTGAAGTCCACTAGCAGTCTGTCAGCCAACATGTACTTCACGTTGTCTCGTGTTATCTCCTTGCCGAAGATCTTTGCGATCGCCACTACATCACCTAGAAGCATGATGAACATTGCATGTTATTGTAGATTCATGTGAAATATCATGGTTGTTGCTACCGAAAAGAATATTTTTATAGAAATAGCAGATTTATAGAATAGGCTTCTCAGAACTGTGAAGAAACTGTGAGAAAACTAAACATGACTCAGTGTTCTGAATACTGTTTCATATCAGTACCTTTAGCCAAACGCCACTTTAGCGCTTGTCTACAGAGAGAGTAGAAATTAAAATGTATGAGGATGACACTGACAAGTGTCAAAATTTACGTCAATTCCATATAATTTAGTTTTCTACTCTACAAGTAGACAAGTGCTGAATGGCATAATGGCTACAGCTGCAGAAAAGAATAAAAGTCATACCAAAAATGATTGAATTCCATGTAAAATCCTAATGAAATAAAACAATGAACACAAGGAATTTTAATTTGTGTTTAATGTTGAATGGAAAGGAACAAAAATATCTAATGTCATTCAACGTTTGATATAAATCAAGCTAAAATAGCAATTAATTAAAAAGTTGTGTGACCTTAGCATTAAACTTTGGCCTCAAAACATAGTTTCTCATTGTCATCTTGGCCATTACTTACACAAATATGGTTGCTTATCCAGAACAAATACCACTTAAGTAGTATAAATAAGTGTTGGACCCGGAAATTCTCAATGTGACCCCGGAATCATTCAATTAAATATTGTCTTGTTCATATGCAAAATAAATGCCTTTTGTGCATTGTATGTCAACCTTCGTAAAACCCATTTTTTGCAGAAAATAAATCGTATCAACATAGTCATGCTAATATTGAGAATTCTAATTAATAATATTGATTAAGCCTAGAACCGTTTCCTAGTCTGGGATTAATTGAAAAAAAATTTTTTTTTGAACGAATATTCATACATGTGAGTGTACCATTAACATTGTGTGGTACACAATGTTAATGGCAATAAATGTGTCTTTCTTGAATTGTTTTTATGACACACTGGCACACAAGTTGTACACACCAGAGCAAAAACTAATTACATCCGAAACTTATATGTATAACGTTTCGGGATAGATAATGTCATTTTGAACAGATCTATAAATCTCCTGATTTCCTGATTGATTTCGGTCATGGTGGCCAGTCTGTTTAACTTGACTAGTCCACTACGCAGGAGATATTAAAGTGCATAAGTGTGTGCGCAAACAGATGCACTCTCTGTTCCCTCACTCTCTGAACGCGATGGCACGGAAGACTGACACGACCGGAGAGAGGGGAGGCGCAGGACGGCTTTACGTGCTTAAGCAAAGCGAATTTTTATTTAAGACTTTGTAAAATTAGTCAATCCAATTTAAAGATACTGTATAACTTACCGAATGATGCCCAGAAGTCTCCTTGCGACCTGACGGGGAACAGCAGCACCTGTCCAGACACCTCGTATCTGCCAGTGATCTCGATGCGAGGGAGGACCAGACCCATGTCGATACGCAGTTTCTTCAAGTCAGACCTGCATACAGGAGTTTAGATTAATAAGAATTTAGTAGGGAACATTTTTATAAGGTAAACAGATTTTGTTTTGTATGGAAATGGAACACGTTGATAAACAGACGACTATTAGGTATGTCTGGGTCTGCGGTACTTCTTAATTCGCAATCTGAAGCTTCAGCTTCATACCACCAGCACCACGTGATATCACGGCATCATAGAAAACCGACGTGAAACAACGCTTGCGTTGTATTTCGTCGTGTGAGTGAGGTTTATCGGAGGCCCAACTACCCCCACTTATCCCCAATCTCCCTGATCCCCGAATACCAAAAACATTCCTCAAAGTCCTAATCCCCAAAAGGCCGGTAACGCATTTGTAATGCCTCTGGTGGTTCAGGTGTCGATGGCCGACGCCGATTGCTAACCATTAGGTGATCCTTCAGCTCATTTACCGGCCTAACCCATAAAAAAAGTCTGTTGAAACCTATAATTATGTTTGTTTTTATGATGATTCATGTTTATACTTAATTTATTTAGATTAATGCCGCCAAGCAGACAAAGCATTACCATTCATGGTAGTTGAAGTGCATTAAGAAAACATCATTTTATAAATTGCCGAGCTGAGATGAACTGCCTTCTAAAGCGTGATAATTTAAGTAGAACGAAATGAACTATTTCATCTGTCCCTTTGTGCTTTAGGTTTGAAGTTACAAAATTCGGCCTTTACGCTCGAATTGTCTCACGCTGCTACTCCGAACTTGTGAAATGTTTTGTTTTCCTAATTCTGCCATTATGTTAAACTTCTCACCGTTTTAAAAGTCTAATGCAATGTTATCTTATTTTGTAATGTTGATTACTGTTATTTGGAGATTATTTGTTTGTAGCTGTTTAAGATTATTGAAATAAACAATGTTCTAGTAATACGTGAAGTAAGAGTAAGAGAGAAGAAGTTTGGAACATCGTGTTTCGTACTTTCGTTAATCGTAAGCATATGCAACTATTAAGGTGATGACTCATACACTATCGAGATTTTGATACTTAATGGTAGTAAAAAATGTGAAAGATAAAGTATAACTAACTGCTAGAAAAAATGACTAGCTAGAGATTTAGTTTAAAAAAATAAAAACATGTGATTCAAGTATTGTTAAGATGTCTTTTTTTTGATAAGTGAACTTTTTTGCTGTAATATCCTGTTCTTTGTGTAATGCATATCGTGGCAGCCCTTAATTAAGGCTACAATATACAGTGTTAATGTTAAAAACCTATCATGTACCTATTTTGGTGAATGTTTTGTTAGTTGCCCTTAAATAAATAAATAAATAGAGATTCAATAGTGAAGAAAGGTGTAGTAATAAAAGACGTGTAACAGTCAATAAGTGAATGACCTGTGCGTTTATGGACATTCGATTTGTTATTTTAATAGGTTTGCGCTTATTCACACATAGAACAAACTTGGTACTGACTCGACATCGACTGATGAATAGACTGAACGTCTTTTATATTATCTGAACTCTCCTCAGATGCATAAATACGATGAAAGTTAGAAGTCTTATCAGCAAAATGTAGATCAGTTTCTGATGATAATTTTCTAGAGTAAAATTATAATAATTTTGGTAATATCGTCAACTTGTAATGATCACATATGTTACGAAAACTTATCGCAATTCACTTGACTCACTATTAAAGCGTCTCTTACAACATTTTGGCAATTTTTACACTTATCTGTTGCCAATAGCGAACACAGACTTGACCTGGTTTTCCTACTCTTAAAGATTTTCAGCTCACCACAAAATTAACGTTACTAATTAAACATTTCGAAATGTCGCCTTGTCCTATAGTTCTAGATTTTTTGATTAGACACTGTTTTCTATTTTAAGAACTTTACAACAAGTAAAATAAGTAGACTCAATCTACGTGAGACAATTAAATATTTTTCCCAAACTTTTCGGTTCTGAAGACGCAATTAATTTTGATAATAAAGTTACATACATTAGACAACAGATATTTTTTTATAGTGCAGCACTATGCACAACGCACATTAATCGTGGTTTTTATACGTATACCTATGCACAATGATAGACACAGTCCCATAGATATAACAATATTTCCATGGATAGACCCAAACTTTCGCCTTAAAAACCAGCATAGAATTACATAGAGTGTAATATGGATATCCAACTAAACTTATAACAACAGTCTTACCTGATCTTAGTAATGGTATAATTACTAGGCCCAATAACAGTGATGTTGCTGAATGCAGCAGTGACCCTGACTGGACCAGCATCGTTCTCCATCACCAGCCGGTCGATGAAGAGTGGCTCCACAGGAGGTACGCCCAGTTCTGGGATACCCCTCGACAGGTAGGGTCGAAGGTGATTGAAGGAGTTCTTGATACAAGTGTCTAGTCCAGGATCCGTTTGACTGCATGGTAGTATGTATTCCGCTGGAAAATAGAGAAAGTATTTGTTAAAATTGTTTATGTTTTAGCGTGAGAGTTTTTGAAATTGATATTATGTAAGACAATGGAGTAATATATAATTCTGTTTTGTGTATATCATAAAAAGGAACATCTGATAATTAATTTATTTATACTGGCCAATAGTTTCAGAGTAATATGCCGAACAAAAAGTCGTTCGGTACCACCCCTTCCTACAAAATAACATTTAAAACCTTACACAATCAATGCAATTACTGTCAGTCATCAAAACCTAGACTGCTAAATTACGAGAGATTGCAATCAACATGCACAGCGCAGGGCATGTTTAATGACAACACTCTTGCTCTCGGCGCATGCGCCACCCAAATCGAGACGTTTCAAAACATAGTATTTGCATACAAACATAAACAATGCATACATAAGCGAAGTAACTGTTACGTAAAGCACACAAGGTGAGGCTGACCAATCACAGAACTTTCCAATATTCTCGCGAAATTGGTAAATTTCTTAAAAATTTGTAACACTAGCCCTTTTTTTAATAGTATAGGTACTTGACAAGGGAAGTGTTCCTTCTGGTATGAGGTATCTTATGAAGCTTTGTTCTACATAATAATTTAGGAACAATTATTATTTTATAAACTATAGTTAAAAAAACAATCTTTAATCCCTCTTTTTTGAAGTCTGTTATAAATTAATATACCGAAACCTTCTCTCAAGTGTAACAAATACTTTTTTGACAACCACATCGAAATCGGTTATGCTAATAGTATAGTATATAGCGAGATAATTGGTCATAAACTTACATACATATAAACATACAGGTTAAACTGAGAAATCTCTTTTTTTCGTTTTAAAGTCGGTTAAAAATAATAATGATTTGAACGAATGATGGTTGACGCGGTGGCTGGGCAACCGGCTGCCGTACAACGTGTCGCAGGTTGATTCCCGCACGGAACAACTCTTTGTGTGATCCACAGATTGTTGTTCGAAGTCTGGGTGTCATGTGTAAGTGAACTTGTATGTTTGTAAACGCACCCACGACATAGGAGAAAATCCTAGTGGAGCAATATTAAAAAATAAGGTAAGAAGTGATTCTCTTACAAGTAGCTTTAATTGTATTCTCTGTAGAGTACAAGAGCACCACTATACTCAATAATAAACAGCAAGTAATTGCATATCAAACGTCTATATAAAATCAATTATGTAAATTATAGTAAACATAAGGTAAATTAAATATCTTTATGTACCAAACACATGAACATAATACCCAATGTATACCTATCTAATTATGATAATCTTAAAGCAATTCTCATCACGTTGTATACTCGAGTAAATGATTCAAGATATTATAGGGAAAAATTGGCAAGCTGCTATTGTCGCATACCTACATGGATTAGGAATACGTGTGTGAACTAGGAAATAGCCAGGTAATGCACTTGTATGATCGTGTGAACTAAATATTAAAAACAGACGACATTGTTGTTTGAAGTCATTCAATCAGCAGGTGAACTCTACTACTAACAATTCTTTTATACACCACGTTTAAAAAACCCGACTTCAACTTAAAAAATAGGGGTTTAAGTCGGTTAATTCATAGGTATACTAAAACATTCTTCTAAGTGTAACTACACATATATATAAATACCAACATACACACAGGTGAAAGAGAGAACCTCATTTTTCCCTTTTTGAAGTCGGTTAATAAATTAAGAATGTATAGTAAAAATGGTATAAGAACAGAGACAAGTGAAAGTGTTAATTACCCATCTCTAAACACCTTATAGAGCGAAAATAATACTACAATATTCTTGCTATAAAATACACTTGTATTTTAAATTAATAGTTGCGAATAAAGAAACAGATGTCACATTAAAAGAAGAGCTTTACCTATCTATCGACAATAACAATGCAGGACGCACAGAAAAAAATTCACCATTGAAATTAAATACTATAGACGTAAATTTTCTCATCATCAACAGCATATAAATGCCCACTGCTGAGCAAAGCCTCTTCTCACACGGAGAAGGTTTGAGCATTCATCACCACGCTTGCTCAATGCGGGTTGGCGATTACAAAATTATAATTAGAAATTATAAGCCCAGGTTTCCTCACGATGTTTTCCTTCACCGTTTGTCAGTGGTTTCTATATAATCTTAAAAAGTACATATAACTCGAAAAAAGTCACATTGGTACTTGCCCTTGGTAGGTTTCGAACACGCACCCTCATACATGAGAAGCGGGCATCTTAAACCTCCGAGCCACCATGACAAAATTTACTCAATCATAACAAAAAAAACCACGAAAACTTAACGACAGATATAAAAATAAAATCGACGCTGAACTTGAACGAACTCGCCGCTGTTTCACAAGGTCATCAGTTACATAAGGCTTATACAACTTATTGCTGACACAGTGACCGACTTACCACAATACAGTATTTCAAGAAACACCCATACAAATTATGATGGAATTCAGAATATGTACATAATCAAATTGGGTGATTTTTGTGTGTTTATCATTGCGTCAGATTAGGCCCGACGATTCTATTGCAGTTTCTATGATTGTAACTTGATTGTAAACTTTTCAATTTGCTCTTGGCTCTCGTCTTAAATTACCTGTAATTTATATCGAATGTGTTGTGGTTTTGGGTTATACATTTGTTATCAGTGAGTTATAGTAGGTACTAATATTGTAAAGGACTATTGGAAAGGTTATTTTTAGTATTTTCAGCGGATAAATGCATTTAACCCTTTGAGTACCGTCATTATAGACACAATTAAAGAACAATAGGTGTACGGATACCGGTGTCCTCGCGGTGTTTGACAGTTTAAAGGAGGCCCAAGGTCCAAAATCAAGATGAAAACAAAAGTTGGAAATAATGCTAGTAGCTGTCACACCGTAAACTTTTCATCTCCTTGGGAAATATAATCCTGTGGTAGAAAAACCATATTTACGTAAACCATAAGTACTTGAGTACTTCACCGAGTTAGTTCCACTTTCCTCAAAGAGCGATGCAGTTGATCTATGAGGTGTTGGTCAAAATGCGGGTGTTGTAACGAAACTGTATCGTTCACGTAACAGCGTAACGCGGTATCAAATGTAATGTACCTAATGTAACAGTACTTGGTTCCTCTTTGTACTTGTGAAATGTTTCTTAAGTTACAAACTTAGGTTCGCAGTGAATCAGATAAACATTTCAGTGCCGATGTTATCAACAATGGTGCAATGTTTCTAAATTGCTTTGCATATTTCTGTGTTTTTATTTGGTTTTTGATGTGTTTTTGATCAATGGCACAACATATGAATCATTAACTACAACGTTTTTTTCTTGATCTTACTTAACCTCTACGATTTTTGTTCACACAAAAAAGACACTGTGATATATTTCAATTCTATTAGAAGCATTCAGAAGAGCTACTAGATATCTAACTAGTATCACTAACTACAACTCTCGTTGTCCTTGTAAACCAACGAAAACTATCTCCTTTACCCAAAATATGCGAGCTGGTGTAATAAAACGATTGCATTCCTCTCCCCAACACATTAAAACCCGTGTGCTACTTTCTATCCGCTGACGAAACTATTTCGAGAGAAGAGAACAAAATTTCCAGCTATGTTTCGCAAAGTGTGACTGCAGCAGTAATGTCATTAATGTATAATGAAGGGGTATCGTCTAAATAAGTGAGCTTGCATGCCCGCTGCAACGGGGGAATTGATTGATGAATCTGTGGTTGCACCGTGCACGCAACCGTTTCAAATAGCTCGTGAATGGTTATTAACAGATTTATAAAATGCATTTTTTACACCCATCTATTTATAATGATGAATTTGCTGTTGATTGTTATTGTTTTTCTCATCAATTTGACATTTTAAATTCGTCTTTGTACAACTTACGTTCACTCAAATAATTCATATAAAGAAACGAAGTGCCTAGGACCGATGTTGAACTAACAACTAGTCATCAATGGTGTAACTCATTTGTAACCACGAGGGACATGCAACTTGCAATACTCAGTCGACAGTCCATACGTTTCTAACCTTTGACCAAACAATAATATTGATGACAAATCAAATGTTACAATAGAATTAATTAGAATGCCATTTTCCGCAACATATTGTGTTAAAAAGTGATTAACCCACATGTTTCCGAAACAATTTAAATTGTATTTCGCTTGACATTTATTCGCCACCCATTCCATTATATCATATCAGTATTCCAAGGTTGATCATAAAGCAGGGAGATCGTGAGGTGACTTGTGACAGGATGTCGCAACGTGTGATGCAACACCGGTGTCAAGGCTGCGCTGGCGCGGGCACGGACCGACTGACCGGTTACCTACGTGAATTTTGTGTTTCGAAAATACGTCACCTTTGCAATGTTGTGACTTGTGACGATTACAACGCTGTCTGCTAAATCTAGAATCGATTTCTACCCATTAACAAATGGTTGAATGAAATTAATGATAAATGTGTTTATATTGACTTAGAATGTGATTAGAACTCTCAATATTATACTAATGCGTCAGTGTAACAAATAGGTGTGTAAATCATCGATGATTCGGCTATAAAACTTATGGGAGTGAAGAATTATTATATTTTCATGCAGAAAACGACCGTTAAGATTTTAATTATCAACGAATTCATATGCAATTGCTGTTAAAAATAGAAACATCTATTGTAAAGGTCAAATAAACGATTAGTATAGCGCATAGAATGAATCATTCAGCACCAGTAAATCGCAAAAATTTCATTTGAAAACAATGAATATTGACTCGGCTCAGAATTGATGATACGATTGTGGTAATGTGGTATAGGCGAAGGCGTGCCAAAGTAGTGGTCCTACTTCAGTTTTTGGCGCTTTGGTGGTTTTAACTCTAAAGAATTTAAAGGCCCTATCTCTTCTGTACCTCTATTCGTTTTTCAGTTACCTATGTGCAAGGGCATTGAAAAAAAAGGCGGCCATAATGTCACTTAGAAATGATTGAAGCACCAAAATGTCAGTGGGT